AGATGCAAGTATTAGATTTCATAATGATATTTCTGAAACAAACATTTTGTGGTTTCTGTTTATCTCCACTCACCCCCCTTCCCTTTTTCTATCTCCCCACACTTTAGTAGTTTTCTATACTTCATTTTGTGTCCTTTGGCCTCTCTGTCAACACCTGTGATTCTCCACCCCCCTTCCCCACCTTCACACCACTAGCTCCAATGTTATCTTATCTAGTATCAGGACTTCATGTACTCTCACATGGCCTCATTTAAGTCTACACAAACACAAAAATTAGTTTCCACATATGAGAGAGATCATCTGATTTTTAGGTTTCTAAATCTGGGTTCACTCCATGTAGCTGGAAAAGACAGAAGCCTCCACTTAAGATGTATTGACATACAAAAGAAAATATGAAAGAGGAATAATTAAAATTGACAATTTCACCCAAACTGAAAACGAACTGGTTTTTCCTTATACCTTCAGAGAATTAAAGTTGTTGCTGAAAGAATTAAACTGAAATCTGAAAGTCTTTTATGCTATTTTCATAAATAAGCAGTTTGTCTTTTTTGTTGCATAATAATTTGCCAGTTTATGTATATGTAGGATTGGCAACTGAATTGTTTATATTTTAAGGAGAGTTTGAATTAAGATATTATGAAAATTTTGATACAAAACCACTTCTTTTCTATGTCTTTTCTAGATTTTTAATAGATTTTTATTTTATAAGTGAATATATTTACTTCACCTTCACCTTCAACTTCTCACCTACTTCCCAAAATTTTCTTTCCTCCTGATGTATGCTCCTTAGAGTTTAATATTCATGTAATTTTATATTTATACATCATATACACATGCATCTCACTGAGTTTATTAGTATTGCTACTGTGCACTGTGCTACTGTGATTAGTGTTGCCATTTCACTACTTGGGGTTGGATAATCTATCATGGTTCCTTAGAAAAATGATTCTTCCTGAACAGCAATTGCTGTCTATAGCTCTTTATCTAGGAATGGGGCTCTGTGAAAATTTCCACAGCCATGTTGACAGGTTACCCAGAATTGTCATTATGCAGACCTTCTTTGGGATACCTCATTGTTGAGACTTTAAGGAAACAACTTCCTTATCATGCACAGGAGACATCATATCACAACACATGTCTTCCTCTGGCCTTTACCATCTTTCTGCTGTATGCCCAAGCTATCTATACCACTGATGGTCCTACACCCAAAACATCTATTTACTACAGAGATACTTGCTCTTCCTTGTTCACTTGCTCAGTTCATAATACAAAATGGAAACAACACAAATGTCTTTTAAGAATAGATAATGAAAATTTTCCACACATATGAAACAGAATCTTATTCAATTGTGAATGAAAATAAGATCCTTAAATCTGTATGCTTATGGTTAGAAATGGAAAATGTATCAATTTATACATATATAAGTGATTAAATATGAAAGATAGAAAAATAATATATAGATAGAAATTTAGATAGATACATATGTAGTTTGACTGAAGTTAAGAGATATGGAGGGAATTGATTATGTCCATAAGAAGCATTGGCTATATAACAAATCACCGGTACTTCTCTGTTATTCAAAATCTACTCTTGAATTCTTAGAGTAATAGTAAGAGACTCCAAACTGATTTAGGTCAATTCCATTAACCTGGGTTTTTTTTTTTTTTCCAGAATTTGAATTTAAGACCCTGTTCAAGAAACCACACACTTTGTATACAATACTTGAATGAATTAATCTAGAAATAACCTGGTAGTTTTCTCTCTGAGTACAGGCTTTACTATCATTGGAAAGTGCTATGCTAGTGCCAAGGGAGTAAAACAGATGAAAAATTTAGGGACCATGACAATGACTGTCCCAGTTAAATAGTGGCACTTTTATGTAGGGAATAGCCCATAAAGGTCTAATTGGAATTAAAGTCAATTCAGTAGGAGTGATTATATGTCTCACACAAAAAACACAGCCAATTACCCATGACTGAGGAGCTCATAGACCCCAGAAAAAAACATACAACTGCCATTTTCTTAAATCAGTATTTATTATAGATTATAACTGTATTCTCATTTCAGCAAGACAATTACAAAGTTCCTCATCTGGCCCAACTACAGAAAGTAAGTGGCTGTGGGGTACACAGTCCAAATGAGTACATCTACAATAAAACACCTATATCCAAGACACAGAAAAGTAGAACTGAAGTTTTATTTTAGTATTTTGAAAGTATGTATCTTAATTTATAGAACTATAAATGAGAATGCTACCTGTTCCTTCATTTAGGTCTTCTTTCATCAATCTTTTTAAAATATTGAGAACAGAGTAACTTCTTATAGCTGGAAAATAGTTCTACCAATGTATGTGGCTTTAGTTCTTGTAAAGTTATATGTGTGTTTATGTATGTATGTATGTATGTATGTATGTATGTATGTATGTATATGTTACATTCATATATTTTTCCTATGGGATTTGGAGAGAATTGATGGGATTTTCTACATATATTCACACATATTATATGTAGAAAATATTAGTCTTAAATTTTCTGTTTTATTGAGCTTATTTTTCTGCTCATGCAGTGTAGTCCAGGACAATCTCATCTTATTTCCTTGTAAGTAGAAATTTATCAACTCTCCCCAGAGTCTTAAATGATTCAGTCTTACCAGCATTTTTTTTTGTTAATGTTCATATTTATACTCTGCCTTGAAGGGGAGTTGCTCTACCCTTTGTTATCATATTATTTTAATATTACTCAGTTGAAAATGCAATGGAAATCTTCAGGATTCCAATACTATGTAAGAGTCAAAGTAGACTACCCCTGTGACAGTAAAGGTGAAACAGTGGTAAGAAACCATGGCCAATGACTTTATTCTCTCACTGATCATGTTAGCAGATTCTTTAGCTCTTTTAAGAAAAGAAATGTAGTTTTCAATAAATTCAGCCACAGAATTTGAGGACAACATAGATCTCTTATGTTGTATCCTATGCTCTCAAAAAAAAAAAAAATGAAACATAGTAATGATGTTTTCCAACCATCAATATTATGAACTCTGTAAAATTTTCACTATGCAATGAGAAACATTTACATTGTGTTTTAATAAAATAAATTAGTGTCATACATAAAAGTACATATATGTTGCTTAGGCCCTACATTTATGTTTTCTTCTCATGAATTTCCTCAGTTCTGCAGCCATAGTGTCAGTAATATACATGACTAACTCTTGTATGATCATTATTTTGTAATGAAGTGTTAACTTTTTATTTTTTCCACCTGGATAAATTTGATTTTAGTTGTTTCTTTATACAGTGAAATGCAAGCATGAGAATGAACAAAATCAAACAGTATGCAAAGAAACAGCTTCAGTACTATTGTATGGCAGACAATGAAGAAAACTTAGGAGAGGTTCTGAGAGTTCACATAAAATATTCATTGACTCTGTGACTCTTCTTGCATCATTTAAAGACTTGTGATATAATATATCAACTCCAACCTTTGATTTATCACAGTGAAAAAATGCTCACAAAGCATGAGAGAGAGGGAGGGAGGGAGGGAGGCAGGAATGGAGAGAAGGAGAGAGAGGATAAACTGGGATTGATATGTATAATAATAATAATAATAATAATAATAATAATAATAATAATGTAAACAAAAATGCTTGCTAAGTGTTAGTCCTTGCAAATATTTTATAATCTATATTGTTCAAATGTCTTTAAATTTCATGAGTTAAAATTCTTAAAACCATGTCCAAATATTGAAATAAAAACAGACTTTTAAAGGAATAAAGACAGTTTCAAAATGTGAGTATGTGTTGTTTTAAAATTTCTTAATATCTAGACACCAAAGGATAGCTGAAAACATGGTTATTAATTAACTTGAGATGGCAGAGAGGTATATTTATATAAACTACTTTAAGGGTAAGGCTTCAGCAATTGAATGATGAACAGAAGAACATTAAATGCTGATAAGCTTATGAAACTGCAATATAAGTTTATGAGTAGTCAATATATATCCGAGCAATTTTCTCTAACCATTACTTTAATAGCCTTGTCCCACTCCAACACAACACAGCAAATAGAACAGGCTATGAGCTAAGGTAAGTCTCCAGGTCCCACTATATCTCTATGCTCATGTTTGTAAGCAAATATGTTTTTTATTTAATCATGTTAAAATTATTCTTATTTGCACTTTTTAATTGTCAAGTAGATAATGTAGCATTCTAAGTATGTTGCTTGTTCTAAAAGTAGATAAACAAATTCAAATTTTATAAGATAGAAGCATATTTTTTAAGCTTGTAGCACATTTTAGTTCAAATGTAGGTGTTATATTGGTATTTTAAAAATATTCTTATAGCAGAAAATAGATTTGATCATAAAAATTACCATAAAGCTTCAAGTAATTTGAAAGTACTTTTTAAATAAAATCTGCATAGGCAAAATATATTCTAAATTTAATCCATATTTAACAATTTCTAACAGAACTATAAAATAACATCCATCAAACTACCATCTAATACTGTATCATTGATGTAAAATTGGTTATTAATGATAACTGATGAAGTGTTGCTCAAAATTAGTATGATCTAAACAATTGCTGCAATTTTCACTAACAAAAATGGATCATTTTAGCCCTTATTGTTTTTGAATAGTTATTCCTAGTCTCATTTTTGTATATGACTTTTTCCTTGTTTTCTACATAAAGGAAAGTTGGTGTCATGATACTATGAATTTTCACTTGATTTTTGCTGTATTATATTAGACTTTTAAAAATATATGTCTTTAGCTTTTGGTTTTTAAGATCACAATATAATTCCATTACATGCCTCTGGATTTTCCTCTGACCAAAACTCTTCCCTTTACTCTCTTTTAAATTTGTGGCTTCTTTGTTTTTCATTGTTGTTACATATATAATTGCCCTCAGCTCTGCTGCCTTAGAAATTAATACTCAAGATTCAAAATTAATTGTGGATTACTGAAAAAAATTACATTTAAGCACAAATTTCTTTGTTCCTTCAGATGGCAAAGAAGAAATTCAGTGGATTAGAAATCTCTCTGATTGTCCTCTTCATCATAGTAACAATAATAGCTATTGCTCTAGTTGTTGTTTTAGCAACAAAGGTGCCTGCTGTGGAAGGTAAGTAATACTATTCATTTTATACAGTGAAGTTAAGGGAAATTATACAGTGAAGTGTTAAAAATACTATTGGTGCCTGTGAGGCTGAATTAATTAACTAACTTTTACAAGTTTCAAGTTGAAAATTATATATATATATATATATATATATAATTTTCCTTATTTTACATATTAATACCAGTTCCCTCCCCCTCCCATGCCCCCCAGAAACATTCCATCTCATTCCACTTCATTCCAGAGGGATGGGATGCCTTCCAGGACGGATCATCAAAATCTGTAAAGTCATTTGGAGTATGGTCTGGGGCCTCCTTCCTGCCTCTAGACTAAGGGAGTATCTCTCCATGGGAAATGTGCTCCCAAAGTCCTTTCGTGCACCAGGGATACATCCTGGTTCCACTGTTAGAGGTCCCTTAGACTGCCCAGGCCTTCTAATTGAGACCCATGCCTATAATTCACACCACCAGAGACACTAGAATACAAGGAGGAACCTAATAGATTCATTCAAACAAGGTCCCTCAAAGAAGGGGAAAGAAACAAGATCTCTTGAGATATTGGGAGGGGGTGTCAGTGAGTAGAGAGGCAGTTAAGAGAAAGAGAATGGGGGATAGGAGAACATGTGGGACTAGGAAGATTGAGTCTGGGGATGAATAGTAAAGATTAAAAAAGGCGAAACCATAATAGGGAGAATCATTATAGGTTTGAAGAGAAAACTGGCTCTAGAGAAATGTCCAGAGACCTACAAGGATCACCTAACTAACAGTCTGAACAACAGTGGAGAGGCTACCTTAAATGCCCTTCTCTGACAATGAGATTGACAACTAACTTATGTGGCATCATAGAGCCATCAGCTGGTAGCTGAAGGAAACAGAAGCAGACACCTACAGCTAAACACTAAGCCAAACTCCTGGAATCCAGTTGCAGAGAGGGAGGAATGATAAGAAAAGGGGTCAAGATCAGGCTTCAGAAACCGATAGAGACAGCTGACCTGAATAAGGAGGAACTCATGGACCCCAGACTGATAGCTGGGAAACCAGCATTGGACCAAATCAGATGCCCTCTTACTTTTATAAGCATGCAATTGCATCCACCCAAGCAATGAATAAACAAATGAACTCAAAATAGTTTTTAAAGAACTTATCAAAAGTCACATGAAATATGAAGAACTCAGTGTCCCAAAACTGATACAGCATTTTCTGTCCACTGGAGTCTGATGTTTTCAATGGACAGCACTACAACCAACCAACCTTAGTGTATTTCCCAGAATACATTATTCAACAATGAGAAATGAAGTAAAGAGGAAAAGTATTAGAACAGATGGAATAACTTGCCAGTGGGATCTCCTTCATTACCCATTTCATCACTCAGTTTGGAGGATGACTAGATTTTTGCTTAAGGTTTTTAGAAATCTGAACAGGGCATGGATGGTATTGACAGCATTCTCTTTGTCCTTGCTATGGTTGATGAAATACAGAGTACATGACAAAGTGCAAAATAGATGTCTAATGAACTTTTCCTATCCTAACCAGAGTTACATATTGTTACATATTGACAATAATAGGCAAATTGTCTCTTCCACTACCATTCTCTATTAAGTTAGTAAGAAATGAAAAGAATGTCATATAGCACACTTTAGTTAAACACCAGTTACAGGTCCTATGACTGTCATTATCATACCTTCTCCCTATTGTTGACATCTCTATAAAGACAATATTCATCTCTACTAGAAATCAGACTGTACATATAATTTTAAAATATTATTTAAACGTGTTTACTGACCAAGTCTTGAAATTTTAGGTTTTTGAGAATCAGAAGTTGATTTCATTTTAATTATCAAATCTCCTTGGTAAACAAAGTACTCATTCCTTGAAAAATGTGTAACAACATTTTTTACTATTTTCTTCTTACAGAAAATCAAAGTTCATCTGGTACTGGAAAATGTCCCACTGAGCCACATGATCCTATCAATGAGAGAATAAACTGCATCCCAGAACAAACTCCAACACAGGTCTGCCAAAAATGCTCCGGATGATTTTAGGAATATATAAACCATCACATGAAGATAATGCTCAATATATGTTAACTCCATATTATAACATATCTAAGCATAAAATTTACTCATGCTTACAATTACTTCAGTGGATAAATACATGACAGAATTGATATTGATGAGCCTACTGTCAAATCCTTTGTTCATTTCAAGTTATTATATTAATTATCATTCATACTTATCAAATTATTATTGATTTATAAACTTTTATATAATTTTCGTTTCTCTTACTGCTTCTTAATTCATAATCTGTGATAGCACATGGCCCTTCAGTAACACTTGAATATATTTTAAATTATATTATTTGTAGTGACAGCATTAAGAAGTTTTTTAGAAAATTAAATATGACATATTTTTCAATATATTTATATTTTATTTTATGACAATTAGTAGAGATTGGTAGCTGATTGGATTCATGTAATCATATATTGACTCAGACTTTTTAATTCAGAAAATTTGTGAAAATAAAAGTCAATAAGTATATGTCTTTTATGTCTCTATTTGGCTAATTCTATAAATATTGTGTTTGAATCTTACTTTGACATTCCCCATCAAACAAAATAAAATATTTACCACACCTATATTTATTATAATTTACATGGGATTTTCTCATTTCCTTATCAAAAACTATATAATTAATGGAGTATTCATAATAATATTAAACTTAGTAATAACTACTATTGCTCATTAGTGAAGCACCTAAATGGATCAATTGTTACTGTTACAGATGGAGGAAAGTGTATATTCTGATTAGTACTGTTTTCAATAAATGATTTAAGATTAGCCCTGAATATATATAGGAAGAATATAGGTCTTTTAGAAAATTAACATATAAAAATTAGCTTTAATATTAGCTTTTGGTCTTCATTGAATCCATTAAGATACTAAAAAATATTTCCATTTTCATGTGCTTAGTAACAAACTAGTAGCAATAAACTTAGTTATAACATAAGCTCATGAAATAAACAAATTCAACTTCAGCAAATATATCTGCATTTGTCACACAAGAACACAATGTGAGTTCATCATTGTGTTTCATGCCTCTGATTCCAGCCACTGGAGAAACCAATGGAAGATGGTCATAAGTCTGAGGCTAGCCTAAGTATATTCTCCAAGGGTACAAGCCCAATGCACTTCAGCAGATAGAATGCTTACAAAGCATTGTAAGGTCTGGTATGGATTCAAAGAAAGTAAAATGAAGCTTAGGTAGAAAGAAACAGTGACAGAAAGGGCATTTCTTCACATTTAGATAAAACAAACAAACATAAAACAGAAACAGAAAGCTTGGTCAAAATAGTTTAAATGAAATTATGTTATTAAATGAACTATCACTTTCTGTTAGCAGTCTTGACTTCCTATACTTCTTCATCTAGGAGTTGGAACTTGTGAGATTTTCCTATCCATAATGGAATATCCACTGCTTGTATTATTGTGCTAGTCTCATGTGCTTAGCCATATTGTTCATATTTCATGGGTGTATCCTCCCTTTCATATTTAGAAGACACTGTGTTACAATAGAGATCCTGTTCTTGAGCCTTGGGTGGAGAGGCATGTGGCTGTAAACATACATCAGTTGGAGCTAGAGAATACACCATTATTTTGTCTCTGTTTTGACAATTCGTGGCTTTTTTGTAATGGTCTCTGTCTTTTGTGAAAGATACTTCATACATCAGGAGTGAAATATCTACTTTTCTGAAGGTATCTAGAGATGACTTACTACTCATACTGTAGATAGTGCTTTTTGCTACCCTCATAGAATATTTCTTCAGAATTCACACCAGAAAAAAAAAACTTATTTTATAAGAACTACAATACACTTGTAGGAGGCTGCATGCTATAGCATTAGTTTAGTCTCTGTTTTTAGTAAGGTCTCATTGCCAAGTAAAGTAATTCTGGGAAGAAGAAGCAAGACCTTCCTACAACACTTCAACTTCAGGAAATAATTTTGTTTATATCACTGACTCAAATTAGTATTATATAAGTATGCAATCGAATTCTAATTATCATCTATACATGTAGTTATGGCACACAATTAAATAAGAATTGATAATTTTGCAATTTTATTCATGAGAATATTGAAAATATTATTTTAATGAGTTGTCAGTGTTTCTTAACCTTCTGTCTTTCAAGAAATTTAGAAAAAAACCTGAAATTAGAGAAGTAAATAAAAGTATTAAAAGTTTTAAATAAGAGGGAGAGCAACTAAACAAACAAAATAACAGTAAATTCCATTAAATGAACTAAAATTAATAACTAGTACTTTTAATGTTCATGTTATTTTTAAATTAATACGATCATATATGTATGTTGTGAGTTACATTATTCCTGCCAAGCATTTATGTCAACTTAAAGAGTTCCAAAACAGAATCTTATTTGGCAAAAGGGTTTTTAAAGATTAGTTTCTACTGTTGACTTTAAATGGAGAACATATGCAGGGTGACATACAGAATAAAAATGAATGAACATTAGTGGCAAGGAATGGCAACTCTTCTAAGAGTTACTGGATATCAAGGAAAAACTAGGCTTCTCTTCCAGACCCATAGAGTTAGGAGATTCCAACCAGCAGTGCTCTGAGAGAATATATTTCTTTTCCTTTAACTCACCTTTTATCTTATGGTTTTTATGGCAGCCACGGGAAAGTACTAATAAAGTATATTTTGATAAATTTGCTGTAATTTCACTTTGATAATATTTTAGCTTACAAAAATATGTTAATAATGTACTTGATTTTTGTTTTATAAACATAACCTCCCACCTTTTCTGATTGTGGTTGAACTAAATTAAAACAAAACATCTCAGAAAGACTGATATATGCCCATTGTTTTACTTATTTTACAGCATATTTTTGTGTGTTGGAGGACTTTTTGACAGGTTACTCAACTAGACATAAAATTGTCAAAACAAAGGCTTTACAGACTTGATGTTATCAGAGGTGTAAACTGATTCTTTTGTACTCTTGTGTGTAATGCATATAAGTGCATGTTTCTGTGAATATGTAAAGAAGAAGGTTTTTCCTCTCACAACTGGTTTTGTCACTCCTCCATGCCAGCCCCAATTAACACACTGAGGCTCTGTATTTGATATAATGCTGTTGGCCAGTTACTTGTTTCTCATCGGCTAGCTCTGTCTTAAGTATTAACCCATTTCTGTTAATCTAATATTTCCATGTGCTTTCATTTTACTGGGGAATGGGGCCTGCATCTCGTCTCACCAGTCTCTCCATGTTGACTCCTCCTTACTACTTCCTCTTTCCTCCTTGTCTCCTAATCCCTCATATCTTGCTTTCCTATTGGCCAACAGTGCTTTATTCATTAACCAGTATGAGAAACATATTTACAGAATGATATCTCCCATCATCTCCTCTTTTCTGTCTATATAAAAAGGTGGGTTTTAACCTTAACATAGCAAAATATATAACACAACTGTTATCAAGTAAAAATCACGGTTAACAATATTTAGTCCATTAGTTAAAGTGATGTGAAGATAAAGACAAAGACACATAATTTCAGATGACTAACAAATACAAGTTATAAAGCTTCTCACAAAAATTATTATGAAAATATTGTGCCAGTGTTCAAATTGTAAAACTGTGACATAACTGAAAAATGTATTATATGGATATACTCTTTTGTTGGTGATAATGTTCAACCATGCCATTCAACATTTTAAGTATGCATGCATTTATGGCTTTTTATACTTTGCATGATTTTTTTATATATAGTAAGTAAAGTAGTCACCATAAATCAATATTTTATATTGTTTATGAAATTATGGAAATTTGTTTTGACTATTTAAATAACTCAAGTGCTAAGAGGATTAGCTAATAAGTGGTTGAAAACTTGTTATAAAACTTTAGGCTGAGACTGCGATTAAGTAGTTGAGCAGTTACCTAGCATGCCCAGAGGCCTGCTCATAAGCCCTAGTCATTGCTACGAGTGAAATGGTCTTGAATTTAATCTATATTTTTATTTATGTAGCTTCACCTCCTTTTGATGCTGAATGAATACAACATAAGATTTCAAATTCATCTGTTTTAGTCATTATCAGGATGAAGCAGAAATCTTAATTATTAAGAGGGCAAAATGTTTTATAATGTGTGTGCTTAGAGTGGTAACAGTAAGCAAAATAGATACTAGTACTTCTGATTCCAGTTAATGAATTATGTTATTCATTAAAAATATTTACCAGGCAACATGTGAAGAGCGTGGCTGTTGCTGGCGCCCATGGAACAACTCGATCATTCCTTGGTGCTTCTTTGTAAAAAATCATGGCTATAATGCTGAGTCAGTAACTACAAAAGATACTGGTAAGGATTTTCCCCGTAACAATAGTTCAGAATATGTTTTGGTTGGTAGTCAATTTTAAGTTTTTCTTGGAAAGTAGCTTTGATAGAATTCAAGTACATACAGCAAAATGTTTAAAGCTCTATTGAGGCATTTCCATGGTTTCATTATGCAATACAAACATAAAAAAGAAACAGTCATTTGTGATACCATAAGAAAATTACTAATATAAGATAAATTCCTAATAGTTGTTAGTATCCATAATTTATCTTAATTTTATGTGCTTCTCTCCTGTCTTTCTTTAAGGACTTGAAGCCAAACTGAACAGGATCCCTTCTCCTACTCTATTTGGAGAAGACATTAATAGTGTCCTCCTCACAACTCACAGTCAAACCTCAAATCGTTTGCGGTTCAAGGTTTGACTTTTACCATTACTAAAGATTTACTTCTGTTTATTTTCCATATGCAAACTCTCTCTCTCTCTCTCTGTCTCTCTCTGTCTCTCTCTTTTTACTCTCTCTCTCTCTCTCTCTCTCTCTCTCTCTCTGTGTGTGTGTGTGTGTGTGTGTGTGTGTGTATGTGTGTGTGTGATGAGAGCAGTACCCATAGAGGCCAGCAGAAGCTGGTGCATATACATGGTTAGGAGACCCCATGGATATGCTGAGAACAGATTCAAGATCCTCTGTAAGAGCTGCAAGAGATATTAATTATAGAATCATCTCTCCAGCCTTTATCACACTCTTTGTCCTTTCCTTGTGTTGTCCACCATGAGAAATACTTATCAAAAATTATGTATTATATTTAAAATACGTAAGTTATTGTCTTCAGAAAATTTAGTGCTCACAAAATGTTTGTATTAAAGACGTGTAACTATGGTCTCTATGGGAATGTTATTTAAAAATGTATATCATTTGTATATTTTGTGTGTAGGGATGTGTTGCCTCTGTGAATGAATGTTTTTGTACCATGGGTCTGTACAATGCCTGTTGAAGCCAGAAACAGGAAATAGGACCTGGAAATGGTGTTACAAGTATCTGTTAATCACTGTGTGGGTCTTGGGAATTGAATCTAGGTCCTCTCACTGCAAGGCCAGGATATTAATTTAAAATTTGATTTGATAAAAATTAATAATGCTCTATAAACTTAATAATGCTCTATAAATGCAAAGGATGAAACTTTATTCTTAAGATTAAAGTAAGACTGCTAGCTTGTAGAAGGGGGCTAGTCATGTGCACATGCATTCACATACACGCATATAATTTGGAGAAGCAAATAATGACTTTGCAAATATTTAGGAATATATTAAAAATAAATGACAAGTTGTACATGAATTAAGAAAAATTTTCACTGATAAGAATAGAACATATATGAATAAATATGCTGAAAAAGGGATGTATTACCATAATGTAGGACCAAAATTACCATTTAAAACTCTTGTAGTGAGTAGGGTTTTGTTGTTGTTGTTGTTGTTTTTGTTTGTCTGTTTTTTTCTTATTTTGTTTTGTTTATTTAGACAAAGTTTCTCTGTATAGTAGTCATGGTTGTTCTTAAAATCACTTTGTAGACCAGTGAACTTAAGAAATCTCCCTGCCTCTGCCTCCTGAGTGCTGGACTGAAGTCATGTGTCACCATGTCCAGGCATTTTAAATTTCTTTATTCACTGTTGCAAAGAACTACAATAAAGCTAGTATTCAAACAACAGATAAAGAGATAATTATACATGTATGTCTGTGTGTGTGTGTGTGTGTGCATGTGTGAATTGTATGTTATTCCTTTCTATAGAAAATGTAATCACAAAATATAAAAGAATAATGGGTAGAGGATTTACTGAATAGAGGTAATAAGCAGTAGTTATGAAAGAAGACATATACTTATTTTCTAGTTTTAATCCTGTCAAGATGATGGACTAATTCATAGAAAATATCTGTCCTGAAAGCTTCAAATCCAATGGGAAGCTTCCCAGCTTCCATTCTAATTTCATTCATAATCTACAGATTCACTGTGATGTGTCCATTTTGGGTATAGTTAATTTTTGTGAGGTTTTCTTTTTCTAGTAAATTTTAATAAAGCATTTAAAAATATAAATTAAAATATTCAGCACAGATAGGAATATCTCTAAAAATAGATACCTATAGCACTTAAAAGGCTAGTTTTAAATGATACTTAGTAAAAATATCTTTCTTATATCATTAATAAATATATTTACCCAATCATAGAGAAAATATCTTAACTAAATATAATTGTTTCTTAAGAATTGGTATTGTTTATTCCTGCACAATCATTAAAATGTTAAACTTATATTGTGACATTAATAGATATTTTATAAAGTCATGTATATTTCAGGGCTTGTATACAGTAAATCGTAGGTGGGGATATCTCTGTTTACTCTTCATGTATTAAAATCTTGGCAGATTACAGATCCAAATAATAAAAGATACGAAGTGCCACATCAATTTGTAAAGGATGTTCCTGGAATCCCGGCAGCTGACACACTTTATGATGTGCAGGTCACACAAAAACCTTTCAGCATCAAAGTGAGCAGGAAAAGCAACAACAGAATCTTGTAAGTTATGTTTTTATTTTGCATTTACATCAGTCCAGACTGGTGGCCAATTTTATTCTCTTCACAGAGGATAAGAATGTCATATCAGTGCCAGTTCACAAAGAATGTCCCCAAAAAAGTATAAGTAAAGATCTATAAATGTTTGATGATGAAATAATTTTTATTCCCATTAAAGAAATAAACCAAAACAAAAATTTTAAAACATCAATTAATCCTAACCAAAGTCAGAGATGGAGGAAAGTGTTAGTAAAGTGTCAATCATCAATATTAGTCACATGTAATAATGTTTGCTATATACATTATCGTCATTATTTCTTCTTCCTTTAAGAATGTTCAAAATTTAACCAAAATTTCTATTTAATGAGGTATGAATTTCCATAATAATATCAAAACATTTATTTACAGAGATCAAGTTAAATACAAGCTGAATATTTTCATTTAGAATGCATTGTCTAGGGCAAGTAGTAACTGTTTCAAAGAATTTAGTAACTTCTTGTAAGAATTTCAGGTTTCATACAGGTAGCATTCATGCATGAATATACACAGAGATACCCACATACACACACACACATACACACACAAAGTATATATATAACAAGAATTACTAATAAAAATGTATAGTTTTAAAGAGAGTAAACAGGAATATGGGAAGGTCGGAAAGTTTGGGTGAGGAGGGGAAGGGGCAATAATATAGTAATTATAATCTCAAAAATAATTGTTTTAAAAATAAAAAGAATTTATAATAGAGAAAAATGAAGATATAGGCTTTTATGTTATCAGGGAACATGGAAGAGTGTTGAAAACAAAGACTCATAAATTTAGTGCAACTAAATAGGTTTGGGCATTTTTATAATTTGCTTTATGCTCTTTCCTAAAAAGTACTTAATTCTGATCAGAGTAGTCCAAAACAGAAAATTAAATACTTCACTGTATCAATTACATGTGAACTCTAGAAAATTCTAACCACAGAACTGAGTAACACTATGCTTGATTCTGGGTGGTGGAAGATCGGATACTTTTGCTAATGAGTTAGCCATAAAGAATATGTTTTTAAGTTTTTTGCATGACACCTTTAATTGATATTTGAATTGCAGAATACTATTTGTGGTCTATGAAAATATGACTTGCTTTATTTATTTATTCATTTTTCTATTATTTATGCATAAATCACATCTTTGTAACACACATGTTAGTGATAGTTATATTCTGCAACTGTGAGGGGGAATAGAAGGTAGGATGCCTGTAAAAAACTGTACTGATGAAAGTGAAGTTATGTGGATACCATAAACATATTTATGGAACAATTTGTATTTTCTCCAATCATGACTGCAGCTGATGGTTGATACATTAGAAATCAAATATCCTGGATGATGTCTACATTTAACTATAACAAGGCAGCATGTCATCTATGCATATACAGTTTCTTTTTCTTTTGTGGTTCAGGTTTGACACCAGTGTTGGTCCACTGGTGTATTCCAACCAATATTTGCAGATTTCAACAAAACTTCCAAGTGAATATATTTATGGCTTTGGGGAACATATTCATAAGAGATTTCGTCATGACTTATACTGGAAAACGTGGCCAATCTTTACTCGAGATGAACTTCCTGGTGATGTATGAGACTATCTTGGCTTTATACACTAAATAATTACACTGGAGAAGTTGATACATTCATGCCATTTCTCAATATTATTTTATGACTTTGCTGAATAAGTTTTTTACATATCAGAAATACCTATCTTAGAATTATACTTATTTTCAATTTATTTTAAAATATGCTTGACAAACTGAGTATCATGTTTACTGTATCATTTTCAAACATAACTTGTTTGTATTGTTCCTCCCCCTACCTCTTTAGAAAACGTTCATCTTCCTGCTTCCAAACTTGTACTGCCTACCCCTAGTACCCTTTCTACTTCTTCTGTCTCAAGTTTTCTGTTACACTTCCCCTTTCTCAACTTCTATTTCTCATCACATTTTTCTTCTGTTTACATGATGAGTAACTGGAAGAGTGAAAGAGAAAAATGGAAGGATTTGGTTTAAAACCAGTACTTAAATCTGAGAAGAAACATATGGACATGTAGCATTTGTCTTTCTGAGTCCAGATTAATTAGGTCATTGTTGTATTTTCCAGCTCCATTCATTTCCCACTAAACTTCATTTTTTAAAAACCAACTAAGCACATGTCTTTAATCCCAGCATTTGGGAGGCAGAGTCATGCAGATCTCTGTAAATTCAAAGTCAGCCTGGTCAATAGATCTAGTTCCAGGACAGTTTCCAAAGCAATGCAGGGAAACCTGTCTTGAAAAACAAAACAAAACAAGAAAAATTGATGTGTATATTTAACACATCTTTGTCATTCATTCATTAGGTGATGGGCATCTACTCTGGTCTTTTCCCTCCCTTGCTAATGTGAATAGAGTAGCTATAAACCTAGATATGAAGACATCTTTGTTGTAGGATATGGAGTCCTTTGAGTATATGTCAGTAATATGGTAATCAGTACCATATTGCATCAGTAATATGGTAATTTTCTTTTTAAATTTTTAAGGAACTTCCTTACTGATTTCCAGTTTACATTCCCAACATGCAATTTACACAATCCTTATCTGGGTTTTCAGCAGGTTGTTTTCTTTTTTGTTAATTAAAAACAAAAAATACCAGGTGTTGGTAGAGTTCACCTTTAACTCCTACACTCAGGAGGCAAAGGCAGGAGGATCTCTGTGAGTTCAAGGCTAGCCTCATCTACAGCTCCAGTGTCAAGATAGGCTCCAAAGCTGCAGAATAGCCCTGCCTCGGAAACCTCCCACCTCCCAATTATTTGTTTAATTTTTATATGTGTTTGAATTTTGTCTGCACTTATGTGTATGCCTATGACCTGCAGAGGTCACACAAGGTCTGGGATCCCCTGGAACTGGAGTTATTGATGGTTCAGGGCTTTCTTGTGGCTGGGGGAAATAGAACTCTGGTCCTCTGTAAGACTTTTCATGTACCACTGGCCAATTCTCCAGTTCTCCTTGGTTTTGTTGATGATAACTAGTCTTATGTAAATGAAACAGAATCTAAATGCTGTTTTAGTTTGCATTTTCCTGAGGAATAAGGATATTGAATACATTTTAACATATTTATTGGTCTTTCATGTTGTGTTTTCTCAGAGCTACCTATTTGATAATATCAGTTGATTATCAGATTTGTTCTTTGGGTGTCTTGCAGTTCTTTGTATATTCTAGTTATTAAACAATCTGTCTGTAACACACCTATCAACTATTTTCTCTAGTTCCTAAGACTATCTCTGTTTTGCTCATAGCTTCTTTGCCATGAGGATTTAAATTTCCCATTATCTAAGACTCCACCCCTTTTGCCATTAGAGACATTAGAGACTTGATCAGTGTGTTCTTTGTGCCTAAACTCTTAATTTACTTTTTCTCCACTAATTTAAACATTTTGAAGTTTTGAAATTAAGAACTTTAAGCAATTTTGAGTTAATTTATATGAATTTTAACCAGTAAAGTTCTGTATACCTAGTTTATCTTAATGAAAACTGATAGAAAAATATCTTCCCTGAGTGCTTGAACATGTATCTTTAGCTAATGACTGCTTTTCATTTTAGTTTTGTATTTTATTATTCTAATTTTGGTCCTCTTGTAGTTAAAGACAATGGGATGGAACAATTCCAAATACCGGGATCTGCATAGGATGAAGTGTCTACATAATTTAGTCACCATTCCTTGCAATTTTGTCGACTTCCTCCTTATCTTAGCACACAATCACCCAAAACATCTCTTTTTACAAGGGAAATTATTTATTTGTAAAATATACAGCAACTTAAGATTATTTGTACTTTACACACTGGATTATATTATGTACCATGTTATAAGAACTTCTCCAAGATTTCCCCATTAAGAATTAAACTTCTATAACTTTCTAGTGTCTCTTACTTTAAGAGTGTGTTTTGTTTTCTTCATGAATTTTTTTTTCTTGTACATGGAGCATACAAAGCTAAAATATCAACATCTAAAGTTATTTTTATTTATTATTTAGTTACCTTTATTATTGTTATACACCACTGCTAACACTATTTCTCCAAAATGAGTAAATGGATAGAAGTTTCAAAGAACTTCTCTTGGTACAAAACTACTGATGAATTCAAGCATCTGTTTTTGGTGCTTACAGCATTTAGCTCTGAAATGAACACCAGGCTGAAAATTTCTTCATTCTTTGTATACAGCTGTTCTTTTAAGCATCTGTATAAAACCAGTTAGAAAGATTTAACTTTCCATTTGTCATCGCTTTTAGGGCTTACCGGTATCATCCCAAGTTCTCATCTGCTCTTGATAAATACACTGCAGAATCTAAGACAGACATATTTCTATGTTCCTTATGAAAAACAATTGGTCCTGATGGGTGTGCCATAATATCAGCATAGCTTATTCAAATATATTTAATTCTAATAAACCAAAAAATGAAAGTGTTCTATTCATACATGCTAAAACTTCCTTTTGCTAACATAAAATTATCTGAAGTATATTGTTATTTGTATACTATAATCTTACTACATATTATGTGATATATAGTGAGAGAAATTAATATAGAGCTGGATAATGATAAATTACAAAAGTAAATGGGTTTATAACACCCATTTTAGCATATTTTGCCTTCACTTTGGATTCAATTCAATGTTTGAAATTTGAACTTTACGTTTCAGAATAATCATAACCTGTATGGGCATCAGACATTCTTCATGGGCATTGAAGATAACACTGGAAAGTCATATGGTGTTTTTCTCATGAACAGTAATGCAATGGGTAAACATTATTTGATAATATTTACATGAAATTTATCTTGACATGTTTAAGTACTATTCCCATCATAGATATGTGACCTCAAAATAGTCTTGCAAATGATGACAGCATGTAAAATTTACTGGAAGTTTTTAAAATTTGGTTTTTGTAGTGACTGTTTCTATTTGGAAAGTATGCATTGTGTTGTAACACATAGGCAATCTCTTTCCCTTTATAATAAATCTGAAATGCATTCACACAAATAGGGCTTTCTTCAACTTCCCTGAAAAGATCTTTAACACACTACTTTTAGGAGGACAATGACAAAAACTAAAACTAACTAACAAACAAAAAATGAGAAAAGTCTTTGGGCCATAGAAAAAGTAAGTTCATTTCAAGTAATGCATAGACTTTTGTTTTATTTATTTTTTAAAATAAGTGTTATCATTTTATTTTTTTTCCATTTTACATTCCAACCCCAGTTCCTCCTCCCTCCCCTCCCTGTTTTCTCCTCCCACTTCATCCACTCCTCAGAGAGGATAAGGCATTCCTTGAGGAATCAACAAAGTCTGCAAACCAAATTGAGGCAGGTCTAAGCCCCACCCCTTGTATCAAAGATGAGCAAGGTATCCTAACACAAAGAATAGGCTCCAATAAGCCAGTTGATCCCCCTGGGATAGGTCCTGGTGCCACTGTCAGCTCTTCGCCTCCCTACCCCCACAGATCAAGTCACATAACTGTCATCCATATTCACAGTCTGTTTTGTTTTCTAAATGGATTGAGCAGAATATCTTAATACGTGATTTAATGCAGTTGAAAAGTTACAATTGTTCACCAAGAGAAGTATTTTCCACAATTATCTAGCTAATTACTTAAACAAGGTTAAGAACTTTTAGGACTTTCTTTTTTTAGAAATTAACGTGTGTTAATGTGATCTTTCAATTAATCTTAAATTGCAATAACTAATTAAGATACAATTTTGGCAAGACATTTCTTCATGCTAGGAGTCTGACCTTTTATGCCCTCCTCTGCAATTTCGAGAGGAAACTTGCCAAATCTGGAATGGGAAATCTTGGCTTTCCTGTCACAACCTTACCAGCAAAATCTTACTCTTTCTCAAAAGTTATTCTTATTTTCAATAGCTTACTTCTCCTTTAAAAAAATGAACATTATGTGTACTGATATCATTAGCAAGACACTGTTATTGAGTGTCAACAATTGTTTTTAACAATATGGACATTTCTCACATTATGTATATTTTTTTCTATTTCTATTTTGTAGAGATTTTTATCCAGCCAACTCCAATAGTTACTTACAGAGTTATTGGTGGTATACTAGATTTTTACATATTTCTTGGAGACACACCAGGAGAAGTAGTCCAACAATACCAAGAGGTTTGTTTCAGACAGAATTGTCAATTATCTCCTACAATAATTTGCTTTATAAGTTGTTTAAAAATTCTTGTTGCATATATATGACTTCTTACCTACATGTACTTGTATCAATATTTAAATACATGGGTTGATAAATATAATATATCCTTTATAATTAAATATTTTTATTCAGATTAATTTTTATGATGAGATATTTGATGTTAGAAGTGATATTTGTTTGAAACATTACATACTAAATCTTTATTTAGTCATTATTATTTTGACAGAATAAAGCAAAAGAAAGTTATAATTTTGGAGAATAGTAATAGTTAATGAAAATGTATGTCCTTGGCAATTTTGATCAAGATAGGAAATGTGGTGTGACAAAAAAGTGCCCCATTGTGTTAAACTTTCTTTTTCACTATGCTTTAATTCTTGTTATTAATTTTACATGATATGCAAATAGATTTTTGCAAGGTTTTTTTTTTTTAATCCTGAGTGTTTCTTTCACACAAAATACACAAAGGATGTGAGACAGTACAAAAACAATGTTTTATAAGAAAGTTCTGGGAGATTTTGAAGAAAAAAATAAAATTTAGATGGAATTTGTATTTATATCTTGTAGTTCAGTGAGTATTAGAGGAATAGTAGACCAATAGGCACATTAATACTAGTAATTCTAAAGACATTGTTCTTTTTTGAAACTAACTGTCCATTCATCTCAAGCTCATTGGAAGACCAGCAATGCCAGCATATTGGAATCTTGGCTTTCAACTAAGTCGCTGGAATTACCAGTCACTCGATGCAGTGAAAGAAGTAGTAAGAAGAAACCGGGAAGCTGGCATCCCATATGTAAGGACAAGCAGGGGTGCTATGGATTGGGATATGGAGGGCAAGCATTATAATAGGAAATGACTCATGGTGTTACGATACATGTAAACATAAAGTTTTTAGAGTGATGGTCTAGAACATTTATAATTATAAAACTGATTTGATGTTAAATGTATTCTATATCCATATATCGTGTTCATAGTTTGATTCAGTTTATTCCCTTTTTTCTGTGTTTATAATACATTTACATCATTTCTCACTTTCCTTTATATCCTCTATTTTATACATCCTTGCTTTGTTCAAAGTGATGGCATTTTTATTGCTTAAAATATATATACTTTTGAAAACCTTATCAGGATTTGAATTAAAATAAAAATATTTGTTCTTAATTTTAATTTAATTTTTGAGAATTCATAAATGAATGCTATATATAATCATTTGCACCTTCCTCCAACTTCAAATTTATTCTGTGTTCTCCTCAATCCTTCCCAAATTCTTAACTTCTTATTTAGTTATATTATGTACACAGAATTGTGTATATAAATACATCTTCCTGAGAACAATTACTGTTGCCTGTATGTATTTATGGAGGCCACTTTGGGTTAAGTAACCTATTCCAGGGCTTGTCCTTACAGAACATTGATTACCCCTATCTCAGCAGCCATTATTAATTAGCGATCATCATTTAAGGTTGGGACTTTGTGAGATTTCAAACTTCCATGCCGATAAACTTACTGGCATTGTCATTGAGCAGCTCAAGTTTAAGTGACTATATTATTAAGATTTCATGGTTCCACTTCCTGTTACATTTAAGACACTATCTCATGGAAGATGTCCTGGACTTCTGGTTTTTACAATCTTCCTGAACATTCTTCTGCAATATTCCTAAGTCTTTAGGCATTGCACTGTAGATGTATCAATCTGGGCTGAAGGCATCAGAATCAGCTGTTCTATGCTTTTGCACCAGTTGTGGATTACTGTAATGGTTTTCATTGGTTTCCAAAAGAAGTTACTGTGATTAGGAGTAAAAGCTACACTTATTTGTGGGTGTGAGGAATGTAGTTAGCAGTTATATACATTTAGGTGTATACGTTTAAATGTGACAAGATAACATTCTGTTTTTAAAACATAAAAATATAATATTAATAGAACTCACTAATGAAAACTTTCAATTAACAGTAGTTAAGGCTTTTACATATAAAAATGAGATAATTTACAGCCAGGAGAGTGATTCAGTAGTAGAACATTCATTAGATTCTACCTTTCTTAATCAGTACTTAAAAAAAAAAAGGAAACAAAATAACAAAGCCAATGAAAAAAAGTAAATAGTTTCATAAGCAATATTATTCCCTTTATGGAAATAAAGTACATTATTAATTAATTTATCATTTCTTTTGCTTTTTTTTTTCTTGAAATAATATCCCACTCTGCAACTCAGTCTGGCCTGGATTTTGAGGACCACATAACTCACCTTCCAAATATTTACTTTAAATTACATTAGCTTGCTCTCCCATGACTAGGTTGAGTTCACTGTTAGGTTGGTTACTATCTGAAACTAGCAAATGCTTAAGCTTAAAGGTTGATGTTACAAGAAACCTGTCTAGTCTCACTGAAATACACTTTGCTAATTTTCAGGATGCACAAGTCACCGATATTGATTACATGGAAGACAAAAAGGACTTCACTTATGATGAAGTTGCTTTCAAAGGGCTTCCTGAATTTGCTCAGGATTTACACAACCATGGACAAAAATATATTATCATCCTGGTAAAGACAAATTGTATAGTAGAACCTTTTTATTATCATACGTTTGTACTTTAACATAGTGCCTACAGAGTCTTATTTCTTTATCAGGACCCAGCGATATCTATAACAAAACGGGCCAATGGAGCAGAGTATGGAACATATGTGAGAGGTAGTCAACAAAATATTTGGGTGAGTGAGTCAGATGGAACAACACCACTTATTGGAGAGGTAAGTTTTCACCACTACTAAATTCATGTGGTTCTGCTTTCCTCTTTTGCAAACATTGTGTAAATGGTGTGCTTGTGTGTGATATTTCCTCTTTGGATCTCAATTGTAATTTTGCAAGATTTTAGTCAAAATAGACACAACAATAGTACTTAGAGGAATTTAGTTGTAGAAAAGTAGAAAAGTAATCTTAGTATTACCTTGAATTCTCCTATCTCACTTTAATGGTGTTGGGATTTCAAACATGTGATACTGTTCTAGGAATATAAAGGTAAATGCCATGATTATGTAACAAACACATAACTGATGGAGCCACCTGTCCAACCTGTGATGTATATGTCTTGACAGAATATATATTCTTTTTTAGAAACATTCTCATAAGTCATGTCAAACCAAATGATGACTAGAAACATATAGTTGGTAATTCATCCCTATGGTTCAATAAAGCTAAATGAAACTGTAAAAGGAAGTAACAAATTTAAATGTATATTTATTAAGTTATCATTGATAATGACAAATATCCTACCTACCCTTACTGTAGCAAATAAACTTACATTTTCCAGGGCAAAATTCTTTCCATGATTATAGTCTCCACCAGACTCTCATACACCCCTCACATTACTGCTCATTAATATTTCACAATTTGTGTTTTGTTAACAGTTGTAACTATGATCTTGGGCAAATAAGCAAATAATTGTATTTATATCATTTTAAAAGCATATGGACTTGTCCTAATTAATTAAAAAGTAACTATTTTTTCTTAATGCTGTTATTAGAGAAAAAGATAATGAAATATAGTTTAAAAAGAAATACATAGTCAAGAGGTAATTTAGTATTCCTTATCTTTGATATCGTAGGGTCAAATATTTTATACCTTGAGTTTAAATACCTGCTGACCAGCTGTAAGCAGTGTGGCCTTGAAAAGAAACCCATTTATATGTCTGTGTGTCACTTGTCTCATCTGCTAGATGGATTTAATTAACCTACCTTATATGTAAAATGATGACAAAATATATCTCCAAAATTTCTAGTGAAAATTGCTAACAATTACAAAAGTAAAACACAGAAAATGTTTAGTGTATATTGCTATAGTAGTGAAATTTTCTTCTCTTGAAGCTTTTGGAAGTAGATGTGTTTGGCAATATAGTAACATGCTTTCAATTACTGTGATATATTACAGTACTTTGCTTTATTAATATAAACTACAAGGATACTAAGATTCAAATACTTCCTATCCATATGGCACCTAATCTCTTCTTTCTTTCTTTTTTTTCTAATACTTAATGATCCTTCTTTGTATTTATTTCAACTATTTTCCCTTAAGGGAGTTTTACATGATGTCAAGATAATTTTGAATGTAGTTTGCACATGAGTCATAAATACCTACTTAAATACAATATTAAAAATTTAATACTGAAAAAATTTAAGTACATGTGTTTGAAATAGCACATATTTTGAAATTCAACTTTTATTCATGTGTACATATGAATGATCTATTCATCTAGGTATGGCCAGGATTAACTGTGTATCCTGATTTTACTAATCCAAAAACCAGTGAGTGGTGGGCAAATGAATGCAGTCTTTTCCACCAGCAAGTGGAATATGATGGACTATGGATTGTAAGTATCTATTGTAAACAAATGGCTTTATTTGGTGAGCATAAAGGTATTTGCTTATATACACACACATTCTATATCTATGTGTAGTATATGTTCTAAATAGAATTAAATATTTTATATCATTTTCTGAAACACACAAATGCCATACATGTGTAACATAGGGACAAAAAAAAAAAAAAAAAAAAAAAAAAAAAAACACCACTTAATTTAGACGTTCTTTTTCTCCCCTGCTAGTAGACTTTGCAGAATAAAGTTAAAGTTATTTTTTACATAAGGAGTTAAATTTTTATAGCCCATATTTTTTCTGAGAAGCTGGAGTTTAGGATAGGTCAAATATGTACAATTCCAAAGCATGTATGAAAACCTGCAGGGGGCAGCTGTAACACTGTGTACCACTAATGCCCCCCTTAGGGGGTTTCCCATCTTATAAGTGATGGTTCAGAGCAACATAAAATTGTCAATGCCCTGTAATTTACTTCAAAATAAATTAAAATTTAATCTGTAGGTTATTTATGAAGACACCAAAGAAGCCAAAACATTTTGAAAATTCTTGGGTTCAGTTTTTCATAATTTTACTTAATCACAACTTGCCACCTGCAGGACAGCCACAAGACATAGTCAAGGTAAACTCGAGTTTATGGGGAATATACAAAAATACTTCAAGATTGTAAACGCTAAATTTAGAATAAACTTCTCATAAACCTTAACACACACACACACACACACAACAGGTTTTAGGAAAAGCAAAGCAGCTTTACAGAGTAATAGATATTGGAGATGAGTTTTCCTTGTTTGTTTAGGACAGTTTTCTTCTTAGTGATTTCACTGTATACAAAGGCAATTTCTTTAAGACATATTTATTTACATTTCCCATGGGTTAGGTGTATTTGAGGAGGACAAACAGGGAAAATCATGATTATGATGGCAGGATTCCTGTGCAGATATCAGTAGGATGAGGGTATAGAGGATGTATAGTGTAATTCTGTGAGGTCACACTGTCTATACTTACTCATGCCTTTAATCCCAGCACTTGGAAGGCATAAACAGGCAGATCTCAGAGTTCAAGGACAGCCTAAGCTTCAGAGCAGGTTCCAGGACAAGCTCCAAAGCTACAGAGAAATCGTGTATTGAAAAACTAATAAACAAACAAAAAGACAAACATATAAAATAATACACTTAGTCAGTAGGAGGAATAATAAAATATGAATGTCATATTTTAGTTTCTTTTTTTATATATTTATTTTATATAACCAAGTCCATTTAAATGACAACAAACATTATTGACAATATTTGGGAATTTGGGCGTCGTTCTTTCCAAACTACTTCCTGCTGGTAAGGGGCGCTGTCATGGGGGATTCCAAGAAGATGCAGAAATCCTGCCTGTAGTCTGTAAGGTTGCTTGGTTCAGCTGTTTTGAATATAGAATCACCTGGTACTCTGTTTCAGGCAATCTGGCTTGATCAAACCACTTTAGTCTGGAAGGAATCCACAGCTTTTCATTTTCTGTGGAAACAAAAATAGAAATCCTTTTCCCCAGTAACTTGTCCTTGAACTTAAATTTTGGAGTCAAAGCATTGTTTTTTATTTAATTTATTACTTTAGCTTCAGTTTTTTTAAAACTAACTTACAAGTCAGTAATTGCCTTCTCTTATTCAAATTGTTCATTAGAAAACAATTAAATGATACTTCAGTGAAAATGTTTGGTTGAGTTCTCAGTGGTAATACTGAATTTGCTGAGTCATGAACAACTGGACTGAAAAATGGAAACAAGTTGGAATCATATCTGACAACAGCCATTTTTCTTTACTACCTCATGAACACAAACACACTTTAATTAATCTTCAAAAAACTGAAGTCACAAACATCCCTGAAGGTGGGGTTTAAATCTCCTATCAGACATCGAAAACAGTGTGTACCCAGCACTCTACAGCTATCAACAAATGAGCATTTAATACTTCTGAGTACTGGTCATTTTTGCAAACCCTACTGCTAAATTGTATCTTTAATGCTATTTTGGGTTTTTTTTCCACAATAGAGTGAATTTTCAGTGAAAACAGTTTTATGATTCATCTTATAGTTTTATTTTTTTTCTCAAGTTCAAAAATGGTTTTATAACTTGAATAGATATTAAGTTTTTATAATTAAAATGTACATTAAACTTATTTTGAGAATTTTTGTGAGCTAATGTAGCCAAATATGGATTTTATACATAGGTTGTCATAAAAATGAACTCCCTTTTCCTCATAATTATTAAAAAGATCAATCTCCTAATATCTGACAAAGAGCCTACTGAGTTCGATATGAATAGTACTAAAGCCATTGTTTGAAACCAATGCTGCTACCTAATATTTTCAAATTGAAAGGCTTTCCCAAGGTTTTCTACTTATAGGTATGTTTTTGCAGTTATATTTTTTTTGTAGTTTAATACCTTAAAAAAGAATGATTCAGTGCAGAAATATACTAATTTATTTTACAACGTTTGAAATAATTATAGACCTTATTTATTAAAAAGATATACTCAAATATAACTTTTAATTTTTTGTTTAATTAAAAAAACAATCCTATTTTAATATATCTTACATACAAATCCTTTGTAGCTATTTTAGTTCTTCTTCCTTAAGTATATTTTTTATAAAATTATGTTACCAATTCCATATGTAGGCTATATTTATTGAGATTATTTATTCATTAACTTAACTGTTAGAGTCATGGAAAATTAGTTTCATCTACACTTTTAATCTGAGTAAAAATACTACTACTTAATTTCACCTCATGGAGACAAACAGAAATAAGTATAATATTCTAGATAATTTCCAAACACCATGATAGCTTTACATCTTTTTAAACATTGGGTTACTGGTACATTTTCTCATCCATAGTTATTTAGAACACATTTTGTATAAGGTACCAATTACCTTTTTTGTTACTATGAAGAACATATTTTCTCAAAACTCTGAGTGGCTCATTTCATTCCATATTTAAAAAAAAGATATAACTAATTGTCTTTGATACCTTGATGTCAAAAGAATCCAGAGGAGTACATAGTAATATCTGGGTGTTAAAGTTAGAAATTTGTGAAAAACAAGAGCAAATTATAACTGTAATGCAGATATTTCATCATTACATCTTTGCAAATGCTGCATTTATTATTCTTGTAGTTACCCTACACTGGTATAGTCCATAAATATTTGCTGTGTGTTCACGGCAATTTACTAAGTATTAGAAAAGATGGACTCAATCATTGGAACAGGAATAATTATTTTAAAGAATATTCTAGAAAGCTGACTCAAAACAAAAATAATGAAGAATGATGAAAGGTGAAGCTACAACTTTGAAAACAGATTTGGAGCTTAAAAGATTAAAGATCAGACTAGAAACCTCAAGAACAGAGTTTTCTTTGAGAGCAGTGGATTCTTTCCAAAAAACTCTGGGAAAAATCCATAGGCACTCTTTAAGTAATTAACGTGAAAGGAACAGGAGTTGAACATATTTCACTTGAGTGATATGGTTTAAAATTATACATATATTTATACATTATTCTTTTAGTGCAAGCCTTCACTTAAATGGTTATATTGTACTATTAATAGTACTATTGTACTATTAATATTAAGACTTGTTTGAGATCTATGTATTAATATCATGTAATAGTCATTGTTCTCCAGAGGAATAGAACAGTTAGAATTGTACATACATACATACATACATACATACATACATACATACCTTAAGTTCACTTCAACTTTTCCCACACTGATATATATTGTATATGAGATATATGGTATTTATCAGAATGCCTTCCAGGTTTTGGTCCAGCTAATGCAACAGTGATTATCTCCAAATGGAAGTCTGAGAATCCAGCAGTTGTTTAGCCCACAAAGCTGGATGTCTCAGGTGGTCTTCTGTATATGTTAGAAACCTGAAAAAGTAGGCTCCAACAAAGTTGAAGTAAGAGAGGGGCAAGCATTTCCTTCTTTCATGTTTTTTTTTATCTAAACTGCCATAAGAATCCATGGCCCAGATTAAAGGTGACTATTAATTAAGACACTTCAAATGGCTTAATTAAGAAAAATCCCTCTCAGGTGTATTGAGCTTCATGGGTTTTAATTAATTGTACAAGTAACCCAATTGACAACCTAGAATAGCCATCACATATACTCTGTTATAATTTATGAATAATTTTTCAAAAAACAAATTTGTTTAAAGTGTTTTTAGAATAAAATTAACCTAACTTAAGTCTCCTTGCAAATATTTCAGGATTTTAACAATGCCCAGAAGCCGTGGAGTAAGTGAATATGGGCACCAGAAATAGGCTGAGTACATGATGAAAACTAGATACCTGCCCATCAAAATCAAATATGTATAAGAATGACTTTTCTAGGAATGTGTATAAGTAATGTAGAGTAAAAAGACTTATAAGGCTATCCAAAAGATATTTATTGTATCCATAGAGGTGCTTTGTGTAGACTTATAATTGTGTAAAGTGAGAGGTGTTTTCAACACTTAAAAACATTCACTCAAGTCTAGGGTACCCATTGTAGTGTATGCACCCCATTTTTAGGTCTCTAATGAATATGTACGCATATGGGTAATCTAAGACAAACTATTTCATTTACCACCTTTTAAATGGCATAGGAAATCTGTTATTCATAATATTTAACTGCTGCTATTTTCTCTTTTCTATACACTCAGGACATGAATGAAGTTTCCAGCTTTATTCAAGGTTCATTGAAAGGGTGCACCGTCAATAAAATGAATTATCCCCCTTTCACTCCTGGTAAATTCCATTTTCTTACTTAATTACCCAGAGTTGATTAAAAAAAAGCTTTGTTAACTAATAAATTCTATAATATATTTCTAAATTATCAACTGTTGTTATAATTTTAATCCTAAAATCACTAGTTATTCCTTCCTTTTGGCAAACATAATAATTGTGGTTACATTGATGTAATACTTATTAGTGTATGTATTGTATGTATGTATACATATTTTCTGTTTACATATGAAATTATGTCTTTTTCTTTTACTCTCTACCTTATTTGTATTGATCTTTTGTGTGTTGTATTGTGTGTTTGTATGTTTTCACATTAATGCTCGTGGAAAATAAGATACTAGTTTCTTCATCTATTATTTTCTTTAGTATTTTGTAAATTTTATTTATTTTTTTATTTATTATGTCTATGTAAGTGTATTCCTAAATGTTCATTAACAGATATGCCTGTGTGGATGCACAGAACCGAGTAGGTTTGTTTTACCTTCCTATCACCTTCTTTCTGTTCCACAGAGGTAGGGTTCTCCTTCAAATTGGGACTCACATTTTCCCAGCATATCCTAATTGTTTCTACCTACTGATTTATTGAACTGCATGACACATCCAGCTTTCTGTGTGGGTGCTGAGATCTAGATTCTGGTAGCTCAGTCTTCAGAAAAAAGATTTATTAATTGTTGAGCCAAAGTTCCTCAAAATTCACTTTTTAGACAAGATTTCTTCACTAAAGCTAGAGGTCATTGATTGACTAGGAGTGTGTGTGTGTGTGTGTGAGAGAAAGAGAGAGAGAGAGAGAGAGAGAGAGAGAGAGAGAGAGAGAGAGAGAGAGAGAGAGAAAAGAAAAAGGAAGGAATGAATGAAGGAAGGAAAGATGGAAGAAAGGAAGGAAAAAAAGAAGAAAAAAAGCAAGGAAGGAAAGGAGGTGAGAGAGTTTGAAAATTCTGCAGATAGCCCTCTGTCTATCTTCTAGTGCTAGGAAAACTCACCATCATATGTACCTTTCATATGAGTTCTTGAGACTCAAACTCAGGTTCTCAATCTTGTGTACTGAGCACTTACTGAGTCATCTCCCCAGCTCCTAACAAAAATGCAATTTATGTCCTATAAATTATTACAATTAGTATTTGAGGAAAATCTGTACAATATAAGTGCAATTCACTCATTAAAGTTCCTTCTCAAGAATTTATTTATTGTTAAAACCAAAGAATGCTGTTCAGTTAAATTATATTACATGAAGTGTAATGTAGTTAATGGGTAAAGTATATACACTTCTTGTAGCTAAAATAATTTTCTAGTCTCCACAGGAATGAAATGCATGAACCTAAATGGATATTGTTTAACCAACTGTAGTATTCTGTGATTTTTATGTTTGTTTAGATATGGAGAACATATTAGAAAAACAGGCACAAATCTTATTCAAAAATCTCATAAGATTGTTTGTTACATTATTTTCCTTAAGGTATTCTTGACAAAATTTTGTATTCCAAAACGCTCTGCATGGATGCTGTGCAGTACTGGGGGAAGCAGTATGATGTCCACAGCCTGTATGGATACAGCATGTCTATAGCCACAGAGAAGTATGTAAAATTTCACAGAAAATAAAAAATTATTTTTTATTTTACATATGTGTTTCTGGAAGTTGAGCAATTTAGATAGAAAGGTGCAAGAGTAAGAAATACAAAAATTATTTTATGATGAATTTCTAATATCTTTCTCTTTTCCTAACACAGATGTTATCAATATTAGTATATAATCAAGAATCAAATGACACATGTAGTGAGCAAAGATTTGCTTAATTCATAGAGTTTATCCTTTAAGAATTTCTTCTGTTTACTTTCTATGGAAAACAATAATAAATATTTTTTATCAGTCATGAAGTTTTAATTTAGTTTAAGAATATGATGACACAATAACTATTATTTATTCCCTAAAAAAATCAGTGTTTCAATGCACTGAGTTTCTAAGTAGTAGAATATCACAGAATAAGGAACATAGCACAAAAACAGAAACAGATAACCAGAGCTCCTTGATTTTCTGCTCTGTATCTGGTGTTTTCTAACATTCTACAGAGCAGTAACTGATCACACACACACACACACACACACACACACACACACACACACACACCTTGGTCTCTTCAAGTAAATACTTAAGTGTTAATGCTTTGCTGGTGGTAAATTGTACAATGTACCAAAACTTTTGTATATTTTCATCATAGTGTTGATACTTCTCTTTGTGCACACCTACATGTGAGATTAGTAATAAAAGAAAAATAAGCTAGTAACTTGAAAGCAGAGGACAAAGGATGGTTGTAAGGGAACATTACCAGCACAGCCTGGAGGGAGGGAGGAAGGAGATGTTGTAATTCTGTTTCAATTAGTAACTCTAAAATTTAAATTAATAAAACCTGGATGTAGTATGAAACATTACATTTTTTAAATAGTTAAATTATTGGAGATAAAGCATGGCAATATCTTATGGTTCAATATAATATAGCTTATAATATGGAAAAGGCATGGGAGGTTACCACAGTTTTACAAAGCAACTCCAGTTGATTTCATATTTTGAAGTATTTTGGTTTTCTTCTTTGTTTCTGATGACTTCCTTTGACAGAAACTTATCCTTTTCAAAGATATTCTTCTCATGTGTTTAATCAGAATTTACTTAAATGAGCTGCATATTGGTATCAAAATGCAAAATAAGTTAAAGTTCCATAAATTTTCTAAATATTATGTCTTGAGTCAGAGATCAAATACACATCTGAAAGTAACATTTTTAAGTTAATGAAGTCAATTTTATTCTGGAATAATACTTATGTTTTAACATGATTGTATTTTTAGAGCTGTGGAAAAAGTTTTTCCAAACAAGAGAAGTTTCATCCTTACTCGGTCAACATTTGCTGGCTCTGGAAGGCATGCTGCCCATTGGCTTGGAGACAATACTGCCTCGTGGGAACAGATGGAATGGTCCATCACTGGAATGCTGGAGTTTGGGCTGTTTGGCATGCCTTTGGTAAGACAGTTTAATACTAGCCAAAAGAATAGGACAGGCCAATATTCAAACAATTTTAAGGAAGTGAAAAATATAGTAAATTCTAACTATGAATTATGAAATGTCTGAAAATAAATCTATCAAAAATTTAGCTTAAAATTCAACAGTTGAAAAAATAAACACAAATAAAACAAAATAAATAAAAGTATACAAAGACAATAAAAGTAAAGACACAGTGAAAACTTTTAATTAGAGCATGAATTTTAATATAGGAAAAGAAAAGTAATTAAAACGTATAGTAATGAAAGAAAAGTCACTTCAATGAAGCAATGTGAAATAAAATAATGTACAAAATAATTATTTGATAATTTGAACAACACATTAAACCACGTACTAATAAAAATAGAATTTCATCAAAAAATGTTCTTTAATCGATCAACATTGATATTAAAAAAGCATTTATATTTGAATCATTTTATTAATTTTTCATACTCATCACCATATTTTACTTTTATACATTCATTTCCTTCTGTTCTAGCTTATCTTTTTTGACCCCAATCTCATTTTAGTCATTTATAACTTCATATCAGCCTATAACTTGTTTTCATCATATCTACTCTCTTTTCCATTCCCTCTGCTTCCTCCTTTATCAACTCCAATAGTCCCCTCTTTTTAAAATCATACTGAGGCTGCTTAATGCAGCCAGCATTTATATTGGTGTAGGACAATCTACAGAGGAACAGATCTTCTCAGGGGTAACATTCCTGATGAAAACTAACCCATCCTCAAAAGCCATCTTTTATCTATAGCTCCTCACTAGGGGTGGGGTTTCCTGGACCATACCCCATTTTTGCTGTAATTTTGGGTCAGTCAGTCTTGTGGGCCTTCCTTCCTTATCTGAGCATGCCATGTGTATTCTAATACCTTCCTTCATTTTTTTTTTGCCCACTCTGTGTTAGTATCTATATGGTAAGAAATTGTAAATGATTAGTAAACAAATTGAAGGGTTATATCACATTGGCTAATAACTATTATATTGGAAACAGAAACTGTTCCGAAATTGAAATCCAAATTAATTGCACATGAATTTGTTCTGTCAGATAAAGAACTAGGAATTAACAACTTGAATTTGGCATGTGGGTTTTCAACTAGGCTTGCTATGTTAAAAAGGGCACAAGCTCATATATATATATACATATATATATATATGAAATCATCCACATTACTGTATATATATGAATATATGATCAAGTATACATTTGAAAATACAAAATAACATATTGCTATTTCTCACATAATCTATAAAAGTCCATACCAAATGAAGTACATGTGATTAAAGTAAAGTTTAATCATTTTAGAAGAAAATATGAGTATAATTTATGACATTTTAAGTAGTAATACTCAAACATAACATAATGAAATAAATGCACAGAGGACTTTATATTGCATTAGAATAAAAATAAACATTTAGCTAATCAAAATATGTCTTATTAAAGTGTCTAACAAACTGGGATGATAGGTTTAATGTATATAATATCTAATGATTAATGGAGAAAACAAGAAAGTATTTGGAAATCTACAGAAAACTTTGGAATATTTAGAATGAATAATATTAAATAAAAGCTGTACATACTGAAACATTTCAAATGATCTTAACCTAAACATACACTAAATAAATTAAAGCTAAACACTGATAAAACACATTTCATGTAAACAGTGATAAAAATTAAACCTGGTCATCAAGGTGAGTTCTGAAAATTAACAATAGGAATATTTAGAGTGGGTAGGTGAAGGAAGGTGGGAGACAGGAAGCAGAGAATAAAATTAATGTAGATGTATTAAAATAATGATCAAACACTGAGAATAAATCAGTTCAGAGGATGCATATGAGGGCAATAAAACAACTAGATTATGAGCAATGTCTGTTAGTTGGAGCACACACCAGGATGCAGCAGACAAAGTAGAATGTCAACACATGAATAAGAGAGACACTGTTTTTTAGGTTGGAGCAGACATCTGTGGATTTGTGGCTAACACTACAGAGGAACTCTGCAGAAGGTGGATGCAACTCGGAGCTTTTTATCCATTTTCTAGAAACCACAATGCTGAAGGCTATATGGTAAGTGACACCAGCAGTTTTCTTCATGTTTTGAAACAAATACAACTGTATTTTTAAACAATGCTTTTTTTCAGTATAAATATAGTAAGATTAACAAGTATGTAAACTATTTTATGAATTAATTTTGGAAATCCACTTCTCAATGTCAATACATTTTATATCAAAAAATAGACAAATGAAAAAAATCATAAAATACATTGATACCATATTTCATCTTTGATTTTAATAGTGAAAGTTTTGATTCATTTTATAACAAATATAACACTGTATGCAAGATTCTTAGCTTTTTTTTAATGAAAGGAACAAAAAATAGTTCAAGACACATAATTTGAGCCCAAAATAATTTTGTAAATATTATTAAGAGTGAACAAACATCTCAGCAAATACAACAGTAACTTTTAAAGCATGCTTCTGAACTGGTAGGAACAGAAGTGTAAGAAAATATATCTATTCTCACATGCAATCTGTATGCTGTTGCCTATCATGGACACATTTTTAAGAGAGAACTGTAATATCATTTACACCTGCAAGACAGTTAACATGCTGATCAAAGGTTTCAGTGTTCACATATTGCTCTCATATAAAATCTTAGTTCCATTTGGGAAATGTCAGCTGCACTACTCAGGCTGTGTAGTAACTTCAGAGAACCCAGACAAATGGTAAAAAGGAGATTTTGAGGAATCCATGACCATGGGATTAGAAAATAGAAGTTTGCTAACTTACCAGGAAACATTGTTGTATGTGGTTCTTGATCTATAGATTATTACTGTCCGTCCTGCAGTCAATAGCTGTGGACAGGACAGACTCCTTTAAACATTTCAGGCCTGTGAATGAATTTGTAATGCACATCCCATTGGTCAAAGTATGTCATGGAGCTGAGTACAAATTCAATAATAGGCATTCTGTTATATTTGGAACAAAGCACAGACTATTTGACTAAGGTTTTTAACAACATCAAAAATAGGAATCATTATAAAAGAATTAAGAGATTACATCTTCTATTTTGTCATTTTCATCTTTTCAAAATATATATCTAGGTGAGAAATGTGTATTTTAAAAAAGAATTTATTTAAAATACAACTGAGGACACAAACCCTGAACTACCTAGTAATAAAAGGGGTATTATAGGGATGTATTTAATCTTTCATAGAGGAGCTCAAATTCAAGCAATTTACTTTAAACACTAATCAAAATGGTTCCAGTTTAAATGTCTACTTATATTTTCTTTTCTAATTCTGATTTCTTTAATATTTTGCAGGAGCAAGATCCTGCATTTTTTGGACAAAACTCTCTTTTGGTAAAGACATCAAGGCACTACTTAACCATCCGCTACACCTTACTCCCTTTCCTCTACACCCTGTTCTACAAAGCCCACATGTTTGGAGAGACAGTCGCAAGGCCATTTCTTCATGAGTGAGTATTGGGAATTACAAATGAGTATGGTGAGTTGAGGAGTTGGAAAGCTGTCTCAAATAGTTAGAGACCTCACTCTGCCAACAAGAAGGATAAAGTTCTAACCTCCAGGACCCATGCAAAAATGTTAGAGATGGCTGCTTTTGAATGTAACCACAACATTAAGGGGCTCAGAGTGAGGTGGGTCCCAAGAACTAGCTATACTTCTAGACTAAGCTAGCTTAAGTGGTGAGATCCTGCTTCAGGAGATAACCTGATCAAGGTAATAATGCAAGGAGCAAATAAAGAAAGACGACTTTCTCCATTCTCTACATGTGAGAATGGGCATGCACACATTTAACCTCATATATGTGCACCACAAACATAGATACATTATACACATTTGCATAAACCCACAAAACATATATATCCACATTATAACATACACATACACACATTATGACACATACACACATACAACACACATCTACACAAGTCATATTCATACACCACACACATCATGCACATACCACATGCATGCAACATGCCATGTTCATGCACATTCATACATACTAACTACCACACACAAGTACCATACTACACACACATATTACACACATTTATGAAAAACACACAGAAATCATAGGAAAAAATGTATATTCAGATATAATAAAACACTAATAGAAATAAATCAAGATGGAAAGTGGATCAATGATTTCTATTTTACAAAATGTATATAGACAGATTTCTGATATATACAATGATTGTGATCAGTCCTCTGGGTAGACAAGATTAAGCTACAGATGGGAAATTAGCAGAACTTATAAAGAAAAATACACTAAACTATATTATGAATAGCAGTAAGATTTAAATTAAAACTTACTGAAAATGTAACAATCATGCATTAAAAACCTCCTAAATGTAGATCAATAGTGTGGTATAGTTATAAAAATGTATATTTTCTACATGGTTGTATGTTATGAACAAATGTGATGTTTCTTAGTGAATGACCCAACATTCCTTATAAATGTATGTTAAATGTTTTGGACAAAAATCTTGCAAGTAGAAAATTAAATAATTCTAGAAATTTATGAACCTGCCTTACAAGAAAATAATAAAGAACAATTTGCTTATTATACTTTAAATGAAGCCAGATATCTATGGCAGACTTTTGGGAGTTTTGAGTATGCCACTAACTCATGCCTACCATCCTTTCTCCATTTTACTCCCCTTCCTTTCTCTTTGCCTTTCTTCCATACTGAATGTTGTATAAACTATATTAGAATTATTGCATAATAATGACATACTAAACAAATAAATTTAAAATAATTATTCTCATGGAAGAACAGAAAAGATTAAAAAATAAGCAATTTAGTTTGTTTGTTTCATATGTTACAAGTTATCCAATATTATCCAATATTAGATTTTATGAAGACCTAAACAGCTGGATTGAGGACACCCAATTTCTATGGGGCCCTGCACTGCTTATCACTCCTGTTTTGAAACAGGTAGGCTTTCTATATTTATTAATTCATCCCTTAAAGATAATTTCACAGAGCAAATCCTGTTCATAGTTAAGATGCACCTAGATAACACTTCTCAGTGAACAACTTCTAGCTCACAATTTCTTACTGAATTTAAAATGCCAAAAGGTTTTGATGATTACAGATTTATTTGATACCTCTGGATTATAAAATACACTGAGCAATTCAATGAGGGGGTGTGTATAATCAGTTGTAGATTGAAAAGTTTATATTTATTGCATTATCTAAAAGCTTTTCATAACATTACTTAGCTTGCACTTAGAAAATATAAACATTGCAATTTTGCTAAGATATGAGCAAATGCCCATGTAAAACAGCCGATGTTAAAATATGAAAAGCAAAAAAATAAATAAATAAATAAATAAATAAATAAAAAATGGAGTAGAATATATGTGACTTCTATTTCTAAATACTACTGTCCATGTAGTTTCATAGAAATGTTTTAGATCACAATAATCATGTGTATTATAACAACATACATGCATGCATTTATTATAATTTTCACCTAAATAGTATCCCCTTTGCTGCTAGAATGTGTTTTACAATATGTTGAAAAGCAAATAATTAATAACTACTGTAGTGTAAGAACAGATAAGTATTTTTCTCTTGAAAATGGAAAATCTAAAACAGTACTTGACAAGATCTATCTTGAGAATTGGAATTACAAAAATGTGCATATCTCATGTGTATTTACTATATTTTGTATATTTACACTGATTTTCTTAAATTTAGGGAACAGAATCTGTGAGTGCATACATTCCTGATGCTACCTGGTATGATTATGAAACAGTAAGTATTCTAAATACATGTAAGCCACACAATCACATTTTTCCACACAGTGTATCTGCATTTTTTGGGAGTTCTGAGAGTATTATAGGAAATATTCATCAACTGAAGTTCTGTGTAAAAATTGATGTACAATTACTTTCCATCACATATGAGCCAGGTTCTTAATATAAAGCCATATTTTTATCAAACTAATATATTTTTGTATTAAATTACATTAAAGGATTATCTTACAAAGGAATGGAAACTTATTAACTCTTTTCTCTTAGTTTATATTTGACTTCCTTCCAGATGTATTGAGATAGACTTACATGTTTTTAAATAAAAAAAAAATTAAATCATTGAAAATGTTTTTCATGGTCGACTAGAAAAGACAAAAAATAGCATTTGCAAATCATAGATACGATCCTTTTATTATTGTTTGGAAGTGGGGGTACTTAAGACATCTTCATATTCAGAAATAATTTGTAAAGTGACTATATTTCATATGTTTGGCTGAGTGGGAATTTTGGTTGGAAACATGTTTGAAAAGACTTTCTAAAGCCAAACAAAATTTATTTTATGTGCAACATTTTCCTGTTATTTATTCCTTTATTATTTTAATTATATATAATTATGAAGTAAATGATAACTTAATGCAAGCATAGTATGTGTAATTATTAAATAAGTTGATGCTTGCACATTATATGACACTTTCTTTGAAACATCAAAATGTACATTTATATGATTACAGTGTAATGTTTTATTGCGTTTGTCCATTCAATACTGGGCAAATCAATGTAATTACAACTTTCATTTTTACTCTCTTATTGTTACCTGTTGTCTACTGCATTAAACTTTGCCTATTAATAACTGTTACTGCCATATAATGGGAAATTTAAGGCCTAGAATGAATCCAGCATAGGACTGATCCAGATCCCCTGAAAGTAGGTGTTAGTTAGGAGGACTGGACAGTCTATGGTGCTGGTAGTGGATAAGTATTTATCCCTAGTCTATAAGTGGAATTTGGGAGCCCATTCCACATATATGGATACTTCATCAGCATAGACACGTGGGGGAGGGTGTAGGCCCTGCTCCAAATGATATGACAGACTTTGAAGACTCTCCTTGGAAGACCTCATCCTCCCTGGGTAGCAGAAAGGGAATGGGATTGGGGTTGATGGGGGAGACAGGGAAGGACAGAAGGGTGCAGGAACTGGGAATGACATGTAAAACAAGCTTACTTCAAATTTAAACAAAAAATTATGAAAAAAATAAAGTGAAATGGAAAATATTTAATTCTGAACCTTATTTTGGATGACAGTTATACTATTCTGGCATAGAATAATATTACTCATTTATTACAACCTTAATCAAATTGTGTTTTGTTGTCTCTTACAAAACTTTCTTCTTTTTTCCCTTCTGTAAAAAAGCACAGAAGTTCTTCCAAAATGTACGGTCATTTAAAGATTTACTTTACTATCAAGTTATATTACTTTGCAATGTATACACTACAGTGGCAAGGATGTTTCAAAATGATATAACCTTATGTTTAGCATTGCACCTATAGTAAGTAATATTTCAAATCAAGGTGCATGCTTTCTAGTTGAAGAATGTGCAAAGAAATTGTTTATATACAACATATTATTATTTTCACATTAAAATAGTAAAATCACGTCTTCTGCAGAATAATGGATGTGATTAGAAGATATTCTATTGGATTAAAGAGCCAACTGAAGACAAATACCGCATGTTCTCTCTAAAATATAAATGTCCAATTGAATGAAGAATCTTAATTATTAGAAGCATCTTAAGTTTAAAAAGGAAAAGAAAATTTGTGTATTGTAGATAGGAAATATTTCTCTATACCCAATTTTATATTTTCAATGAAAATGAAATTTTCTGTAACATTGAAAACTGAATGAACATTACTTTCTCCCCACAGTAATAAACAAATACTTGATTAAGTGCATAAAATTTATAAGTTATAATCATTATGAATCAGGATTTAAAAGATGCATTAACAATAAAATAATATTTATTATTTTACTATAGGGTGAAAAAAAGCCATGGAGAAAACAAAGGGTTGATATGTACCTTCCAGCAGATAAAATAGGATTGCATCTGAGAGGAGGCTATATAATCCCAATCCAGGAACCTAATGTAACCACAACAGCAAGGTAAAATTGAAGAACCATGGCATAACCATATAGTATAATAACGATTTACATATTGTGTAACGATTTACATATTGTGTCAGAGTGTCTGGTATCCTAGACTACAAACTTCATGTATGTAGACTCACAATTTTATAAATTTATAATCCACATATAACAGTGCCTAGGCTCTATTTTCTGCAACTATTGTTTGAGGAATGTGAGTTGTTACATGAGTTTATGTTAGCAATTTCATAGTTTGGTTTTATGGTAATGATTAATTTTATAACCATTTCATGAAAATGTTCTCAAAAATCAGTCACCATCGAGATCTTCCTGAAGAACAGAATAAAACTTCTGTGTAACATAATCTGTGTAGAACAAGTGCTAGGACCTGATCGCCTCAGAAATGTTACATTCTAGTGATACAGCATGAACAAGATGTGTAATTGACCTCATGATTCATTTCCATTCTAACTGACTTTACTTTGGAAATTGTTATACATTTCTTTTAACATTTGAAAATACCAGTGTTTTAGTTAGGATTACAATTGCTATTATGAATCATTTTGACTAAAAGGAAAGGGTTTTTTTGTTTTGTTTTGTTTTTGTTTTTGTTTTGTTTGTTTGTTTGTTTGTTTGTTTGTTTTACTTACACTTCATATTTTAGTCCATCACTGAAAGAAATCAGGACAGGAACTCAAGCAGGGATGGATTCTGGAGGCAGGAGCCAATGCATTAAACCATAGAGCAGAGCTGCTTACTGGCTTACTCTCCATGGTTTGTTCAGTCTGCTTTCTTATAAAGCCCAGAACCACCAGCCCAGTTATGGCACCAAAAACAATAGATTGGTCCTTCCTGTATAAATAACTAATTAAGATAATGCTTCACAGGCTTGCCTACAGGTGGATCATATAGAGGAGTTTTTCCAGTTGAGGTTTCCTCCTCTCAGATGACTCTAACTTGGGTCAAGCTGACATAAATTTAGCCATCACAGCCATATTTTCATATCAGAAGGATAATGAAGGCGTTTCAATTTAAGGATATGTTGGTTGAAATGAACATTCTTATTTAGTTTTAAAATTTATTTGTATGTGGGCATGCTTGCTTGTCTGTATGTACACACTAAGTGTGCAGTACACAGAGTGATCCAAAGGGATTGTAGTATTCAAGATAACAAAGAGACAGACAGTTATGACTTCACTAGATGGTGATGCTGGTGAGCAAACAGAGATCCTGGTGAATAGCACAATGTTTTAAACACTGAAAAAATTTCACCAGCACCGTAAATTGAACATTCTTCAAACATATTTAATGTTACAATGTTTAAATTTTCCAGATGTCATATCCTTCAACAATTACATATCATCATACTTATATATTATGTTTTGGTTTGTTTACATGATTTGTATTTTACACACAATAGCACATTTCCTTTGAAAATGATGAATGGAAAAATAGATATTAGTCTTCTTAGGTTAATATACCACAGAATAAAAGTATTTGTCATAAGTTATAATTTGATTACAAAATTGTTTTTAATTCCTTTCAAACTTTATTTACACTGTAGCCGAAAGAATCCTCTAGGTCTCATTGTTGCATTAGATGAAAATCAGACAGCAAAAGGAGACTTCTTCTGGGATGATGGTGAAACTAAAGGTGAGTCTCACCATCTTCTATTTGATATTTGCTAATTAATCTTTATTCATACAGATTACATTCCTAATGATATTTTTACATGAAATGACATCACTATTTGACTTGTATATGTGATTAACATTTACTTTGTGATTTGGAAATTGTAAAAACATTTTGACAAATATATGTGATTTTTATCTCACATTGATACTTTCAATGTGATACAATTTGTTAAATTTTCAGTGTAGGAATTGTATTATATTTCCAAGTATTTTGGGTACTTCAGTGTATTCTTTAACCATAAAATTTTATTAATGGAAACAAAACAAAAGCAATAATTTCAGATATAGTCAATTAATGTCAGTGTCAAATTATTTAAGGTAAAAAAAAATTCCTTTTCTATTATTCAGAATCCTTTAGATTTTAGTTTGAGAATTCAATTCAATAAACCAGAAATGAACTAAATATCTAATAAAACAATCATGAGCCATTTTATTATAGTATTTAAATAATGCCTATTAATTTTATGTTTTTAGAATTTAATGTTAAAGAATTTAATGAATTCTTTAAATTTTACTGAAAATAATTTCATTTATTTTAACATGGGACGCTTATGTAATAATAGTTTTATTTGCATCTACAAATATTATTTAGTTTCCATTTGAACTCATTACTTTTCAAATATCATTAAAATTTATTATCTTTAAATTTTTTTCAAATTTGACTAATATAATCTTCAGTTTCCTTTAAACAATGACAGTACCCATTTAGCACATGCATAATACAGATATCATTGTTTTCTTACATTTGAATCATTAACTGTTCATGTACCGGTGAAATCTGATTTAATATCTTTCTACATTCATTAATTTTTCTGAAATAATGAAATATTTCATTTGCTGTATCATGTGCTCAAAGAAAAAGACACAATTTCATAATACTATCTTAAGATATAAATATCACTTCAAATATTAATTTAAAACAACATATTATTCTCTATAATCTTTATTATTGCTTTTATTAGTGGAGACAAAGTCCCATGTATTCCAGGCTGGGTAACAGTCTTGCTCTCCTGTCTCTACCTCTGCCTCTCCAAAACTGAAATTATAGGCTCTGGCTAATATACCTGACTAGGATAACTTTTCTTTTCTTCTGAATTTCTAGAATAATTTACTCTTCATGAATAGAGTAAATCAGATAATATATTTAATATATTTGTTAGCAAGGAAATTAAATAAAAATCTTATTCAGTATTTGAAAAATACCTACCTTTGTATATTACTTGTAATTTAAAAAATGTTTATAACTGCTTCATTATTACAACATTTCTCCTTTTGTTGTATCTCAAATCAGTACCATATATTCCTTCTAGCTCCTTTTCAAATTCTTTATTTACTACTGTTTGGTGTATTCATACATACATATGTACATAAATATATACATGTTTTCTGATATATGTATATGTGTATGTAATTATCTGCCACTGATTTTGTATCAACTTATTTGAACATATAAATTTATAGGACTGACTATTTGATACAGAATAACCAATTGGTGTCTCTTCCCTGGGAAAGTCTTTCCTTCAATCTCATCAGTCTTTTGTTGCCTGTAAGTTCTGTCCCCAGGGTTGAGTCCCCAGGAGATTCTCTCAAATACATGATACACTTTAATTTTATTCACCATATATTGCTTCCCTTCAAAACCCATGGAGCTCCCTAATCAATTTTCTTCTAAACTTCCTACCATTTTTCCTTCTTAATACAATAATATCCTCCAATCCAGCTACTAGAAATGTAAAAGTAATAATTGTTTACAGCACTTCATTAGTATAATTTAAAAAAAACTAAGTACTCTATAAATATAAAATAAGAAAAGAAAATTTACTTCATTTTTATCTGATAATTATTTATTTTTTAATTTCAGGAACCATAGAAAATGGAAACTACATATTTTACACCTTTTCAGTTTCTAATGTAAGAACTTTTTTGGGAAATATGTGTACTTTTTCATGTCTATTTTATAAGTTATTGGAAGCTGCTTCTGTGAAGTGCTTAACTTTCTCTTTAGTATGCAGCAAAATAAATTGTTGATTTAATTGTTAAATTTAAATTATTACGTTATGAGCCATGGAAACCTTTGTTAACTGCATGAGATTAAATTTATAATGAAACTATGCCTTGCATCATTTGTACTTCTTTAAGTCTATTTTAACTTAGCATGGAAAAAATTTCTATATATTCAATATGATTTAAAATGTCAATCACAGTGATAAACCATGTTCATTTGGCAGTAAGGATAAAAATATATATACAACATGGAAAATAATTTCTAAATATCGATATGGTTTATTATGTCAGTCACAGTGATAGTTGATGTTCACTTGGCAATAAGGTTGAAAAATATATACACAACCTGGTACATAATTTATGTATATGGATATGTTTTAATATGTCAATCACAGTTATAATATGTGATCATTTGGAAATAAGGATGAAAATATGTGCACATTTAATTTTTTAAAATTGCACAGAAGCTTTATTTCTTTATTCTTTCTAACAACTCTGAGTTATCTCACATCAATATAGTGGCTAGACTATGAAATATTATATATGAGTGACCTCATATGTGATTTTATTGTTGATTCTAAAAATAGAGCTGCATGATATATACAAACAAAATGAGTTATATGCACAGTGCTAACTAGTGGGATGGTGTGGTGGATGACTCAACCATGTCTTTCACCATATTCTATCCATAATTCTAGCAAATATCACAGGACTTAAATCTAACCATGTGGTCTGTTTTTCCTCAGAATGACTTGGTTGTTAATTGCACACATTCAGCATATTCAGAAGGAACTGCCCTTGCTTTTAAAACAATCAAAGTTCTTGGGCTGACAGACACTGTGACAGCAGTTACAGTCGGAGAGAATGCTCAGCAGATGGCTTCTCATTCTGCTTTCACTTTTGATGCCTCCAATAAGGTAAGTTGGTCACTTTAAAATGTTTGATATGCTTGTTATGTGCTCTTATATTTCACTTGGTGTTCAAGATACTCAAGTCACATGCCTTCCCACCCCCTCGCATTTCTGTTCCTCTAAAAAATATATCTGAAAATTTACTGGGTTTGTGGTACTTTGAAATACTTTTAAATTTCGATATTATCAAGTTAAAGTATTAATTAATAATTTTTTCCTAATTTTTTCCATAGGTTCTCTCAATTATAGATCTTAACTTTAATCTTGGAAAAAGCTTTAGAGTTAGATGGAATCAAATTTTCTCAGAAAATGAGAGATTTGGTTGTTATCCAGATGCAGGCATGGCAACTGAGAACTTATGTGTACAGCGAGGCTGCATTTGGCAAGAGGTAATAGCAGTTTTCTTGTTGAATAAATATGTGGTTTTCAAATAATCATATCAGTGTGAAATTTACACATAGATTTTAAATTCAGTAATATATAACATACAAACATTTATGAATCATTTCGTATTTGCAATTTACACATGAATAATCAAACTTTAGATAAATTAATTCTTAAAGACATAGCTTGGTAAATGTCAGAGAAGATGAACATATAAATCACTTTTCATGCAAAATAGATATAAACTATTCCATTACAAAACAGTATTTTGTTGTACTTATGATGTAAATTGACTATATATGATTGGCAAAATTGTCAAGGTATATTTTCAATAATAGCACATACTTTAAAAACAAATTTCTACTTATGAAATCTTGGATATGTACCACTAAGGGAAGATGTATTATTTTATACCACTCTTTGGGAAGAATGACAGCTGTGTATAACTTGGTATGGTTGCCACCTTCAGTTTTCCCACATGAACCATAAAAGATATTGAAATATGTGGAAGAGAAAACAACTACAACTACTACTTTGCATATTACAGTCATTTTCATGAAGAGAAAATAGTAGCATTATAAAGCATAAAATTAAATACAGACAAAATTATGGAATTTTTGTAATAGAACACAATTTATATTATTATGCATTGAAAAGGAAATATTTGATCATTTGTCTTTGCTATTCTCACACTAGAATCAATATGTAAATATGTAATATAATAATTTGGAACCTATCTCATGAATAATAGATCCTCTTAATTATGAGTCATACAAATTGTTACTAAACTCAGGTAAGATCTTTCAGTTTGATTTTTTTTAATTTCAAGGTTACAATGCTTACACTTTCTGATTGTGTACTGCTTTTAGGTTAGTGGGTCATCCTTTGCACCTGAATGCTATTTTCCTAAAGATCACAATCCCTACTTGTTAACTTCAACTAAATATTCACCAACGGGTATAACAGCTGAACTCCAGTTGAATACTGCAAATGCTAGAGTAAACCTTCCCTCTAATCCCATCTCCAATCTCCGTGTGGAAGTAAAATATCACAAAAATGACATGCTACAATTTAAGGTAAGTTACATATAAACTTACTTAGTAGAAAATGTTAAACAAGTCAATATTTTACTTGATCTCAATAGTTTCTGCATATGCAATATAATATAAGGTACAAATGCAAACACAGATGACAATTCTAAATTCTCCTTTTGGAGGTATTATTAGAAACATGTGCCTCTCAGCAATGAGAATGAATGTGTTCTTACTGATTTTCTTCATTAGATTTATGATGCAAATCATAAGAGATATGAAGTTCCAGTACCATTAAACATTCCAGAGACCCCAACAAGTTCTTATGAAAATAGGCTCTATGATGTTGAAATCAAGGAAAATCCTTTTGGCATCCAGGTTCGAAGGAGAAGCAGTGGACGGCTTATGTAAGTGATTAAATGATATGATACAAAGTAGAAAAGTTTTACTTTAAAAGAGCCATATACTAACAGTTGGTAAATGTTTTCCCAATTTTACCATTTTTTTATTACTTTTTCTTATTGTACATAGCAATCCCAGTTCTCTCTAGCACCCTCCCTCCCATAACCTTGGACCCCACATCCTACACCCCCAATACACAGGGAAGGTGATACCTTCCAGGAGAGATCATCAAAATCTGTCAAGTCAATTGGAGTAGGGTCTAGCCCCCGCCCCCTCTCCGTCTCACCTCTAGGCTAACTAAAGGAGTATCCCTCCATTGGGAATGTGCTCCCAAAATCCTTTCCTGCACCAGGGATACATCCTGGTTCCACTGTCAGAGGTCCCTTAGACTTCTAACTGAGACTTTAGGGGTTCTCAGTAGGTCCAATGCTAGTATCCCAGCTATCAGTTTGGGTTCCATGAGCTTCCCCTTGTTCGGGCCAGCTGTCTCTGTGGGTCTCTGTAGCCTGGTCTTGACCTCTTTTCTTATCACTCCGCCCTTGCTGCAACTTGATTCCAGCAGTTCAGCTCAGTGTTTACCATTTTTAAACAACATACCCATTGAGCCATATAAAAAAACTCATTTTAAACTTTATATACTCTACAGTTATAGTTACTTTTCTTAATAAATTTTATAATCAGTTTTATAATAATGTAAAGCAATTAGGAATATGTTATGTAAATGTGTTATTAAGAATATTTGAGAGATCTGGAACCTGATGAAAATAAATTGATAAACATTAGTATTAATATTATAGTGAATAATTTTATTCAAAAGATCATTCTATTTTCAAATTTAAAATCATTTTTTATTAAATTCTCCATGCCTTCTTTAAATGATGTCAGAATGCCATCAGTTATGGGCAGTGTTGATGCAAATAAAGAAAACCCCTATTTACTCAAACTAATATCATTTTATTATCAAAAATTAGTGTAAAAGGACTATAAACAAACTAATTCATGAATCTAATTCTTGGGGGCTGGGAAGGTACTTCTCTTTATGCAATAATTTAAAAAAAATGATTTTGAAGATTTCCATGTATCTCAGATTTTTTTATAATATAAATACCCCTACTTGCATGCATTGCTTCCTTTTTCTCCTTCTTCCTGTTTTTATTTCCTCATAAATAACTAAATTAATGGTGCATTCCTTTAAAATAAATTTCTATAATTTACTTATTATAAATACAATAAAAAAAGTTGGCTGTAGTGGGCAGGAAGTACTTGCAAGTAAACTATTATGATTATACCTCCTGATAAAATTTTCTCATTTTTGATAAATTTTTTATTTAAATTTGAAACAAGCTTGTTTCACATGTCAATACCAGCTGCCACACCCTCTTGTTCTCCCAAACAACCCACATCTCATCCTCTTTCTGCTCCCCAAGGAGAGTGAGGCCTACCATGGGGAGTCTTCAAAGTCTGTCATATCATTTGGAGCAGGGCCTAGGCCCTCCCCCATTGTCTAGGCTGATAGAGTACCCCTATATGTGGGATGGGCTCCCAAAGTCCATTCCTATACTAGGGATAAATAATAATCAATTACCAGAGTACCCATCGACTGTGTAGTCCACATAACTAACACCCACATTCAGAGGGGCTGGGTTGGTCCTATGCTGGTTTCCCAGCTATCAGACTGGAGTCCATGAGCTCCCCCTTTTCAGTATTTAGTTTTTTTAGGGACAGGAAAAAAAAAGATTGTCCCAAAAGCTAGATATTTAATTTTAGGATATATGTTAACGAATGACTATAATTTTGATTAGTTTTATTTTTAACATAATGTTGAACTAAAGAAGAATACATATAATTATAATCTCATTGTATATTTCACACAGTGGTACATAAAATACAGTTTACTTGTTAAGTCAATAATAGTCAAAAAAATGAGTTTACAGTTTTGTGTATATCCATTTGATGCCTGGATATAATTAGGGGTATGAGAAACACTTTTCAGATCATAAAGGAAGAATTCACATTATTATTTGCAATGTGATTTTATGTTTGTATACAGGAAAAGTATTTGTTTGCTTTCAAGACAACAAAAATAATTATAATTATTACCTTTATTTTAATTTTACACATTTTTACACTAATAGCCTTGTTTCTTTTTATTTTCAGCTGGGATTCTCGCCTGCCTGGATTTGCATACAATGACCAATTCATTCAGATATCTAGCCGTCTGCCATCAGAATATTTATATGGTTTTGGGGAAGTAGAACACACAACATTCAAGCGAGATTTGAACTGGCATACTTGGGGAATGTTCACAAGAGATCAACCTCCTGGTGTAGGTATCTATGTGTGACTACCTAATGAGGCAGCTAAGGCAGTGATGGGTATCCAGTTTACTTTTTTGTAGGGTGATAGCTCAAGATTGAATGTAAAGGGTGCTAGAGATTCACAGAGTTGATACAGTGGTTTTCTGAAAAGAATGAATATAAAAGAGAGAGAGAGAAAAAAAGGAAAATTATCAGAAATCATTGAAAAACTACAAAAAAATACAATTTGTTGAATATTTTGAAAGGTACATTGAACAATTTTTAAAATTTTACTTCACATTATATTTTTTTAATTTAGTTTTTCTTAATGTACCTATCTCTTTTTTGAGCCCACTGAGTACATTTATCACCCTCCCACCCCCCATATGCACATGGGCATGGGGTCCTCTAATGGAGCATGAGGAAACTTTTCTATCCCTGACACTCATTAATGAACATTATCCCTTGGCAGAGGGTGAGGAATGCTGGCCGTCCTCCCTAATCCACATACAGATTCTCTGCAGACAGATGAGGCAGCCATGCACATTATGTTGACAGGACAGCATTCCACAGAACACCCCTTCATTTCTTGCTGTTGTGCTTGGAATTTCAACATGTGATCTGAGCCTTGAAAGTTGATTTGCATATACAGATGTTATATTTGAGACTGAATAGTCACAGTCGCTTATTATAAAATTTTAAACTGTGAAACATTTGTGCATTAGACCCAGCTATCCACCATGATAAGTTTCTATGCTCAAGATTGGTAGTAATTCAAATCTAGGGATATAAACATGAATTTTAAAAACAATTGACATCATGCTCATTTAGAAAAGCAACATCAGTAGGCTCTCTGCTAGAATTTATAATTTCCTAGCCACATTTTTTTTATAATGTCTATAATATTAGGTCTGAAAACAACCTGTGGGCATATCTCAAGTCCAGTCAGGACAGCAGATGGTTACTTCCATATAATATCTAGCTTGTATTGTCCAATGTGTGAATCTTGCTGGGTGAGTCAATGTGATGTCATGCAGGTTTTATCAGTGGTCAAGGCCACTGATATCCTTTCTACTCCAGCAAACCTCAATAGCACCTTCCAATATGTACGAATCCAAACCAATTTCTTAACCTTTCCAATCACATAAAATAAAAGATACTTATTCGTTATTCCTGGAACTAACTCCTTACAGTTTTTATATTTCACTATTCATGACATATCACAAATGGTGATTTGATACCATTCCTCTGTAACCTACAGATAAAATTATATATTTTCTTTGATTAAACTACTTCTTATATTCTTAATAAAAATTTGTATGTGTTTTGATACTCCTTACTTCTGTTTTGAGAGCAGAATATATTTCTTTAATACTTAATTTATTGAACAGTAAATAATATTGTCACCATTCCAAATTTATCATAAATAAACATGTTTCAAAAACTAGCTTATCTTCAGTTTTACTTGTCATTGCTACTTGAAAGATACATTTAGGAAAAATAAGTTAACATTGCATTCATTTTTTTGGTGATGTGCAAAACCAATTGCTATCTTTACCATGTTGAAATTGTATCATCATGTATATAAAAAAAGGCTCTATGAAAATTATTTCCAATTCCAATAAATTACTAAAATTCAATTTTGGAAGCACAAATTACAAGTTATGGGTAAGGAATTTTGTATCTTTATAAACTTTTTCTTCTTGGCAGGTTGATTATTTGGTTGATTATTTACATCACTATGATTATTTCTAGGATGTTATTTTAGGAAAAAATGCTAATTTACAGATAAAATGAGTAACTTAACTTCTTGAAAGAAATATAACTGCTCTACCATTAGGGGTCTTAGTCAGTTATGGTTGCATAATTTATGGATATCACATCTTTTCATATTCATTTGCATGTTCTATGGAAGTATTAGTACAAAATGTATAGTATTTTATATCTTTTATTTATTTATTGATTGATTTTTGAGACAGGCTTCCTCCTTGTAGCTTTGTAGACCAGGGAGGCCTTGAACTCATATACATCTGCCTGCCTCTGCCTCCCAAATACTGGGATTAAAGGCATGCACCACCATTAAGAAGTAATATTTTTAGGTGAAATACATTTATTTTGTTCAAGTAGTGTAACCTGCTAATAAGGAATATGCTAATTTCCAAATGTAGTCTAAATGAATTTAAACACTGGTCTAGTTTACACTTTATTTTTCTTAAATATACATTATGTTTTATATATGTTTCAGTATAAACTTAATTCCTATGGATTCCATCCGTATTATATGGCTTTGGAAGATGAGGGCCATGCTCATGGAGTTCTGTTACTCAACAGCAATGGAATGGGTAAAGCTATTATTTGTTAAATTTCTCCTATGAAATGAATAAATGTGATCTAATAACAAATAGATACCTCTCATGTCGATAAAAATTAAGTCTTATTTTGGATTTTCAGATGTTACATTTCAGCCAACTCCTGCACTAACTTACCGCATAATTGGAGGCATCTTGGATTTTTACATGTTTTTGGGACCAACCCCAGAAATTGCAACAAGGCAATACCATGAAGTATGACTGAATATTCATTTAAAAACAATAAAGCTTTATATTTAATGTAAAATACTTCTTTTATCTCAATTATAATATTTTTTAAAGGTAATTGGCTATCCAGTCATGCCACCTTACTGGTCACTGGGGTTTCAATTATGTCGTTATGGATACAGAAATACTTCAGAGATTGTGCAACTATATAATGACATGGTGGCTGCTAAGATCCCCTATGTAAGTACACCAATAAAATGGAGCCTGTAAGATAGAAGGACATAATTTAAAGAAGATATTCTTTGGGAATAAATCTTTGGAAATAATGCTCATGTTTTGGTAGCAACTTAATAATTGGATGTGGGATTTTTACATATCTTTGTCAGATATGTAAGTTAGGAGCTATACTTTTCCACCTTTTCCTACTTTCCTACTTTAGTAAAATCCTGAATATTCCATGGGAACTTCTTCACACTATTATCCTCTCATACCTTGTGGCTTGCATAGTCAGGCATATTCTCTTTAGGGGTGAATAATCTACAGTATTCCTGAATGTGGCAAATTTTAAGGAACTCAACATGAAGCTGGATTATTTGAGCCTTGCAGGATTTAAAGGATATGTTCTTTCCACAATGCTTTTAAATCAGTTCATCAATATGAATAAATTTCAATAATACCTAAACTTTGCAGTATCTAAAACATGGATGTAAGTGCTCATTTTACATCATGAACTTCACTGACATTGACATTGATTCTATATCAAAATCACTAATTTCCATACACTGAAAATACAGAAGTATGCAAGTTGATATTTGAAGCTGAAGTTTTCCAGTATTACCCTAGTATGACAGCTACAGTTTTCCCAAAAACTGTAATAATTAAGGACAATGTTGATTAAGAGAAAATGGTTGGAAAATTAGTTATTTGAGACTCATTTGATATTTCCATAGTTAAATTTAAATTTGGTGGCTTGAATATATTTCCAAATATTTAAGTGTAAACAACTCATCATCAAGCTACTTCAAAAATCAATTTGATTTATTTGAGAAGAAAATTTTCATAAAAACTGATGGAATTATATACTTATATATTTCCCTTTTGTCAGTAAAATTATCTTAATTTATTCCTATATGATTTATGATTAACATTAGTACAAAAGTATTTTTGTTTATATGCACTGACCATATTATCATAATTTCATAGCATTAAAATTTTTATTGTCTTTGTTTCCAATGGATACCAATATTGTGATATTGCTCATTTACAATGCTTACTGCTAAAATTTAATAATTGTTGAACCATTCATCAAATCAATCATCCCCATAATATTGCTTTTAGACTACTTTTTACTTTTTATTACCTTCCTTTTTTCAATCTTTAATGTAGTTTATTTTTTTTCTTATGCAAGTGATGCTAGAGACAACATCCAAAGAGCTCTTATCAAATTGTCATTATTATCTATTTCAGGATGTTCAGTACACAGACATTAATTACATGGAAAGGCAACTAGACTTCACAATTGGTGAACGATTCAAGGATCTACCCCAGTTTGTTGACCAAATAAGAAGCAAGGGAATGAAATATATTATTATCTTGGTCAGTATTGATGTTTACATGAGTTATATTATTTGTTTATATTTATTCTTCTATATTGCTGATATAAAGGCTTTTCAAAAAGAGAAAGGGTGAACAAGGCGTTGGAGGCCTATAATCCCAGCACTCAAAAGGCAGTGGTAGGCAGATTTCTGTGAGTCCAAGACCAAACTGTTCTACAGAGCTAGTTCCAGGACAGGCTCCAAAACTACTATACAGAGAAACCCCTTCTCAAAATATAAAAGAAAAACAAATAAAAACAAAAACCAAGAGGGGGGCACTGGGCTTGGAAATGGGTCAGTAGTTAAGAGAATTTTCTTTTATTATGAAGACCTGAGTTTTGATCCTAACACCCATGTTGAGCAGCTCACAATGACCTAAACTACAGCTCTAGGGGAATGCAATACTCTATTCTGGTCTCTACAGTACACCACACACACACACACACACACACACACACACACACACATAAATACAAATTTTAAAAGAAAAAAAATCCAGTTTTGAGCATTCCTCCTACCTATTGATTTTTCTCCCCATTACATTGTATTTTATTTACTCATACTGTTACCATCTTAAACAAAGGTAGATGTGTAAAGACATAAGTCAAATGAAAGGTATCAATGGCAAGCTGTGCTCTCCTTATTACCCAAGTCACAAACTGGCTTCAACTTTGAAGGGTAAGAATAGATATTTTTGTCCACAAGTCATTTTCAGGTATTCTACTGAATTTCTTCTGATGTTTTCTCATTACATTAATTTAGCGTTCAGTAGGTTGAATGAATATAATCCGTGAAAATTATAGTTTCTGAATATATTTTAGAGAGCAATCTAGACAACTGGAAAATTCACCAGGTAAAAAAAATGTAACCAAGATGCCTTCAATTAGCTTGCTTGTGTTCCTAAAAGATTCTTTTGAGAATGTTGTATAATATTGCTGTGGCATTGATGCATCGTCAGTTCTCCAAAGGGGAGCAGAAGGTTACAAGAGTACACAAGTAGAAAGTAACACTGTCTCTGAAGGGCCACCAGACAACCTGTAAATTGACTCCATATGTAGTTTGTTTTATTATTATTATTTTTTTTAATTTTAGGATCCAGCAATTTCAGGAAATGAAACAAAGCCTTATCCTGCCTTTGACCGAGGGATAAAGAAAGATGTCTTTGTTAAGTGGCCCAATACAAATGATATTTGTTGGGCTAAGGTACTCAATATTTTTCAAGTTTCATAATTTTGAAAATGTTAGATACTTTATTTCATTCACTATTTTAAAAGCATATTTGGTATGACAGAAAATAATGTAGATTCAATAACTAAAATATTCTGTTTTAATTTAGATCTGAATTACTAGGCATAAATAAGAGATTCATACAAATCCTAAAGTCAATACTTCTTCTATTAGGTTCAGCATGGCTGGATTTATGTTGGGGTCTTTTATCCATTTTAACTTTAGTTTTGTGCGTGGGAATAGATAGAGATATATTTGTATTCTTCTACATGTTACTGTGCAGTTATGCCAGTACCATTTGTTTAGGATGCTTTCTTTTTTTTCCCCCCCAATGTATAATTTTACCTTCTCTTCCTCAAAAATCAGGTATTCATAGGTGTTTGGATTAATGTTACAGTCTAATATTTGATTCCATTGGTTCCCTTCTGTTTTTGTGCCAATATCAAGGTGTTTTCATTATTATGGCTCTATAGCAAAGCTTGATGTCAATGATGGTAATGCCTCCTGAGGTTCTTTTATTGTACAGGATTGTTTTGGCTATCCTGGTTTTTTGTTTTTGTTTTTGTTTTTCTCTTTTGTTTTATTTTTTTGTTTTATTTATTTATTTATTGTCATGTGAATTAAGTGTTGTTCTTTCAAAATCTGTGAAGAATGGTACTAGGATTTTGATGAGGATTGCCTTGAGTCTGTAGATTGCTTTTGGTAAGATCAGCATTTTTAATGTGTTGATCCTACCTATCCAATAGCATGGGAGATCTTTCCATTTTCTGAAATCCTCTTATTTTCTTTCTTCAGAAACTTAAAGTCCTCGCCATACAGTTCTTTCCCTTCTTTGGTTGGAGATACCCCAAGATATTTTATGTTGTATGTGTGTGTTGTGAAAGACAATGTTTCTCTGGTTTCTCTCTCATCTGTATATAGGAGGGCTACTATTTTTTTTTTTTTTTTTAGAGGTAGTCTAGTATCCTGCCATATTACTGAAGGAGGTTATCAGCTGTAGGAGTTCCCTGGTAGACTTTTTCAGTTCACTTATGTATATTTCATATCATCTACAAATAGCAAGAGTTGGACTTCTTCCTTTCTAAGTTGTATCTCCTTGGCCCCTTTTGTTTTCTTAATGCTATAGTTAGAACTTGGAATACTAGACATGGAGAGATTGGACAGTCTTGTCTTGTTTCTGATTTTAGTGAAATAGTTTTGAAAGTCTCTCCCTTTAGTTAGATGTTGGCTGTTGCTTTGATGTATATTGTCTTCCTTATGTTTAGGTATATTCCTTGTATCCCTGATGTCTCCAAGACCTTTATCATGAAGGGATGTTGGATTATGTTGAAGTTTTCTTCAGCAGCCAATGAAATGATCATGTTTTCATTTGTTTGCTTTTTCTTTTAGTTTGTTTATATGATGGATTACATTGACAGAATTTTATAAGTTGAACCTTCCCTGCATCTCTGAGATAGTGCCTACTTGACCATAGTGTGTGATTTTTCTGATGTGTTCCGGGCTTCAGTTTGCCAGTATTTTATTTAGTATTTTTGCAAAAATATTTATGGGGGAAATTGGTCTTTAATTCTCTTTCTTGGTTATATCTTTTTGTTGTTTGGGTAATTGTAACCACATAAAAAAGGGTTTGACAATATTCCTTCTGTTTCTATTGCATGAAACAATTTGAGGAATTGTGATATTAGCTTTTCTCTGAAATTCTTCTAGAATTCTAAGCTGAAACTATTTGGCCCTGGTCTTTTTTGGTTAGGAAATTTTTGATGACTGCTTCTATTTATTTAGGGGTTATGGGTCTTTTTGAATTGTTTATCAGTTCATGATTTAATTTTGTTATATCATACCTATCCAGAGAATTTTCCATTTCTTTTAAATTTTCCAGTATTTTTTTGAGTACAGATTTTTGAAGTAAAACCTGATGATTTCTTGATTTTGTCAGTATCTGTTGTTAGGTCCCCCTTTCCATTTTTTTTTTATCTTGAATATTCTCTCTCTGCCTTTTGTTTAGCTTGGGTAAATGTTTGTTTATTTTGTTGATTTTCTCCAAGAGTCAACTCTTTGTCTCATTGATGATTTGCATTCTTTTCTTTGTTTCTATTTTAATGAATTCTGTCCTCAATTTGATTATTTCCTGTAGTCAGTAACTACAGGATAAGCTTCTTTTTGTTCTAGAGTTTTCATGTGTGCTGTTAAATTGCTAGTGTGAGTTTTCTTTAGGTTCTTTATGTAGATACTTAGTGTTAGGAACTTTTCAATTGACTCTGCTTTCATAATATTCCATAACTTTGGGTATGTTGTGTATTCATTTTCATTTATTCTAGGTAGTCTTTAATTTTTTTATTTCTTCATTAACCCATTGTTGATTCAGGAGAATGTTATTTAATTTCTGTGATTTAGTGGGCTTTTTGCAATTAGTTTTGTTATTGAATTATAACTTTAAGCCATGGTGATCCAGTAAGACAGAGGGGCTTATTCCTCTGTGGTGTGTGTGTGTGTGTGTGTGTGTGTGTGTTGAGGTTTGCTTTGTTACTGAATATGTCGGCAAGTTTAGAGAAAGTTCCATGAGGTGCTAAGAATAAAGTATATTGTTTTGTGTTTGTGTGGAATGTTCTATAGAAATCTGTTAACTACAATTGAGTAATAACATTGGTTAAATCCCTTATTTCTCTGTTAAGTTTTTGTCTTGTGTTCCTGTCCATTGATGAAAGTGGTGTGTGGAAGTGTCTGGCTTTTGATGTGTTATTTAAGCTTAGTAATATTTTTTTAAAATGTGTGGGTACTCTTGTATTTGGGGCTAGATGTTCAGAATGGAGACTTCATTTTGATGGTTTTTTCTTGTGATGAGTATGAAATGTCCTTCATATCTTTTGATTAATTTTAGTTTAAAGTCTACTCTGTTCAATATGAGAATAGATACACCAGCTTGCTTCTATGTCCCTTTGATTGGAATATCTTTTCCAAATCTTTTTCTTTGAAGTAATGTTTGTCTTTGAAGTTGAGTCATCCTGCTTGTATGCAGCAGTAGGATGGAACCTGTTTTCCTATCCATTCTGTTAGATTATACCTTTATATTTGTGACTTAAGACCATTGATATTAAGAGATATGACCAGTTATTGTTAGTTCCTCTTATTTTGGTTTTGCTGTTGTTGGTTATGGTGTGTGTGTGTGTGTGTGTGTGTGTGTGTGTGTGTGTGTGTTTGTGTGTGTTTTTATTTTTTGGATTTTTCTGGCATGGGATTATCTATTGTCTGTCTCTTTGTGGGTCTAGCTAACTTCCTTGGATGACTTTTTCCTTCCAGTAGTGTATGTGGGGTTGGATTTGTGGATAGATATTGTTTGAATCCTGTTTCTTCATGGAATTTCTTGTTTTCTCTGTGGAAATCTTTGCTAGGTGTATTAGTCTGAGTTGGCATCTGTGGTCTCTTAGTGTCTGCAGAAAGTACATCTAGTTCCTTCTGTCTTTCAGAGTTTACATTGAGAAATCAGGTATAATTCTGATAGTTCTGATATTTTATGTTACTTTATCTTTTTTCTCTATAGCTCTTAATATTCATTCCTTGTTCTGTATGTTTAGTGTTTTGATTATTATGTGGTGAGAGAATCTTTTTTTTTTTCTTTTTTTGGTCCAATATATTTGGTGTTCTGTAATCTTTTTGTACTTTCATGGGCATGTCCTTATTTAGGTTGGCAAAGCTTTGTTCTATGATTTTGTTTAATATATTTTTGGTGCCTTTGAGATGGAACTTCACCTTCTTCCATCCTTATTATTTTTAGGTTTGTCTTTTCATGTTGTTCCAGTGCCCTTAATATTTTATGTTAAGAATTGTGGGATGTAACATTTTCTTCAACAAATGAATACATTTCCTCTATCATATCTTTCTTCTATTTCTTGTATTGTTTTGCTTATGCTTGCATCTGTAGTTACTGATCATTTATCTAGATTTTCTATTTTCAAAGTTCCCTCAGTTTGTGTTGTCTTTATTGCCTCTATTTCAGTTTTTAAGTTTGAACTATGTCTTCACCATTTTGATAGTACTCTGGCTTTCTTTACGGGATTTATTTATGTCTTCCATTTTTTTTTTTTTTCATTTGTGTTTTTTCCCAAATCTATAAGAGAATTTTTAATTTCCTCTTTAAGGGGCTCTATCATCTTCATTAAAATTACTTTGTTTTTCCTTTTTCTTTTTATTTTACGTATCCATCCAGTTCCCTCTCCCTCCCTCCCTTCCTCCCTCTTTCTTTCTCTCCAACCGTTCATGTCCCCCAGCCACCCTCCTCTCCCATGACCCCTTTCCACATGTAGGGTGGTGCCTTCCAGGAGGGATCATCTAATTCTCTCAAATCATTTGGAGTATGCACTAGGCCTTCTCTCCTGCCTCTAGGTTAAGGGAGTATCTTTCCATGTGGAATGTGTTCCCAAAGTCCTTTTGTTATTAGGAATGCATCCTGATTCCTGATTCTACTGTCTGAGGTCTCTTAGACTGCCCAGGCCTTCTAGCTGAGTCAGTCCAATGCTAGATCCCCAGCTATTAGTCTGGGGACCCATCAGCTCCTCCTTGCTCAAGTCAGCTGTCTCTATGTGTTTCTGTAGCCTGGACTTGTCCTCCCTCTCTGTATCTGGATTCCAGTTCAGCTCAGTGTTTAGCTGTGGGTGTCTGCTTCTGCTTCCATCAGCTACTAGATAAGGGCTCTATCATGGTGGATAAGTTATTCGTCAATCTCATTATCAGAGAAGGGAATTTATGGTAGCCTTTCCACTGTTGCTCAAATTGCTAGTTGGGATCAGTCTTTTAGGTCTCTGGACATTTATCAAATTTAGTTTTCTATTCAAACCTATAAGGTTGTTTCCATCTGCTTCATCTGCATTGGGATGCTCAGATCTTGCTCTTGTAGAATAAATAGTTTCTGATGGTGCTGTGCTATTCTTTGTGGTTTTGAATGCATTCTTAAACTAATATCTACCCATGTGTTCTTCCAATTCTTGGAGGTGGGTCTATGTAGGGAATAGTGTTTTTCTTCCTGCCGCCAGTCTTGTCCCGCCGCCATGCCAGCCCCAAATAACATACAGAGACTCTGTATATGATATGATTTTGTTGGCCAGTTATTAGTTTTTTATCGGCTAGCTCTGTGTTAATTATTAACCCATTTGTATGTATTTTCACGTGGTCTTACCAGTGAGAGGCAGTTGGCGGTTCTGTTCTCTCCAGACTCTCCATCTTGACTCCTCCTTACTACTTCCTCATTTTTTCTTGTCTCCTAGTCCCTCCTATCTTCCTTTCCTATTGCCCACCAGTGCTTTATTCATTAACCAGTATGAGAAACATAACCGCCTCTTGCTGATAAGACCACGTGGAAATACATAGAAATGGGTTAATACTTAAGACAGAGCTAGCCTATAAGAAACAAGTAACTGGCCAACAACATAATATCAAATACAGAATCTCTGTGTATTATTTGGGGCTGGCGTGGTGGCGGGACAAGACTAGGTGGCAGGGAAAAAAAAAAAAAAAAAAAAAACTTACTCCTTACAAGTCTATATTTCAAGGGATCCCTCTTCCTACAATTCATGCAGGTGGTACCTATGGCTTAGGTGGTTGTTCTTCCTCCAGGTGTAGTTTCTGTTGATCACTCTTCCAGGAGCAGGTGGGGCTGTGACTCTTGTGGTTGTTCTTCTAACTGCAGGTGGGGCCAAGACCCCTATGGTCACTGATGTGGTGTTTTTTTTTTTTTTTTTTTTTTTTTTTTTTTTTTTTTTTTTTTTTTTTGCAGGTGTGTGGAGGCTGCTGCTAGGTGTTTGGGGCTTTGTTGGGTCACCAGGAATGGACTCAGGATATGCCACAGGGGCATATCCTAGAAAACAGGGCCCTCCAACCTGGACTTTTGACATTGCCCAAATCTCCCATTTATTATTTGTGAGGATTACAATTGCATACAGAGTTGAAAGAAGGACAATTCAGAATGACTTCTCCAGCCAGATCATACTTTAGTCTTGTGTGAAGGACATGTTAAGATCCAGTAGGACAGCTCTAAGGGTATAGAGTAAAGGGCAAATCAGGAGTCACACTCTTTGTAACTACCAGTGGAAGGGAGGGAAATTTTGGTTTACCCAAACATGGAAACTTATTCAGTATGAGATGAAGATAAATCAAAGTCCCTCTTTTTGTAGACTCTAGGCTTTACTGGCTGTGGTAAGGGTTACTTGTTTTTGGGAATTCTCTGAATAACATACTTCCTGGAACCCTGGGTCTGTCTTAGGCCCTAGGACATGGAAGATATTTATTTAATATTAAAAAATTCCAGTCATTCGATAATGATATTTAAAATTGAAGAAATTTCATACATTCCTATGATTGTGTGGTGACATAATTCACTATTTGGTTTTGGGGTTTTTTTTTCTAATTCACTAATTTATGGTTGTTCTTACTGTTGCCATTGTACCAAAGTTGTTGTATTAATTATGAAAGTGATGTAGTTCAAACACAGTTAAACATAAGTTAATTATATTGCATCTCTAGTGGTTAAATGGGAGGTAGGTGACAGAAATTCACTAATTTTCATCATTTTTTTTCTCTAAATCTAAACATACTATAAAATGAATTAGATAAGATATAACTATAGGGATTAAAGTACTAGGGATTTAAAGTTAGAATATACTTCTATGCATATATTTTTTATAGCACTCATAAAAATGCATCTTGAATTACTAATTCACATACATTCTTACAGGTTTGGCCAGACTTACCTAATATTGAAATAAATGAGAGTTTAACAGAAGATGAAGCTGTTAATGTAAGTTTCTTGCTGCTAGACTTTACAGCTAAAAAAAATTAATCAGAAGTTAAAATTAAAGGTCATATTAGTGTATGACTGAATTTTAATGTTTTCCTTTAAAAGTAGGAAGTTTCCTTTAAAATATTTTCTATTGGATTAATTTTAATCATATTACCAAACTTTTTCAAATGTGAAATTTTAGGATGAATCAATTATATGTTTTACATTGTTTTTATAAGACAATAGTATTTAAGAGTTTTATCTTAATAATGCTTAACGTGAGATACATTGTACATGTAAAATAATTTTAAATATCTGTTACTGAATTGATATTTATTTTTCTTTCCTTGACTAGCCTATATCACTCAGCATTGTACTATTAGATTTGAAGTGATGATAATAAGAAAAATGTTATCATGCTTATCTCAAAGATAATAGATTTCAGACACAAAAGACACATATTTGCCTGGCTCTCATTCTTCTAGCAGATACCAATTGCCAAAAGCTCCAGCTAAGGCTTGGACTTATGTACAATTCCCCTCTCCATGCAGGGATTTTTGTTTGGCTTGAACTTGTACAGATCTTCTATTTGCTGTCAAAATGCTGCGATTCAGATGTCAAACTGCTCTGCTTTGTCCATTTTTGTAGCCATCCACTACTTTCAAGTCTTTGAATCATTATGCCTGTATTCCACAGTGATCCTTGAATGTTCTCTCTCTCTCTCCCACCCCCTTTTTGAACAGCTTTGACTGTCATGGAACTTACTATGTAAACCAGGCTGGCCTCCAACTCATAGAGATCCACCTGCCTCTGTTCTCTGTATCCTGAGATTAAAGGCATGTGCCACCATCAGCTTGTGCCTCCAGCAGGTGCCAAGCTGTTCTCTTATCACTCACCTAAAGTTGACAGGTGTTGCTTTTTTTATATGTTCAATTTTATCCCTGTCTCATTGCCCCTGGACAATTGAGAAAAAAACGTAATCATTGTTACACAGGTATAACTAGAGCATCTGAGGACAAAGTTCTGTTCACATATGCACATTCTCTGAGAACTTTTTGAATGTGAGTGTGGGTCTCCATTCTGTTTTATTTAGGCTTCCAGAGCATATGTAGCATTTCCAGACTTCTTCAAGAATGCCACAGCGGAGTGGTGGACAACAGAAATTTATGACTTCTACAATGAAAAAATGAAGTTTGATGGCTTATGGATTGTAAGTGAGCTTTTAAGGTTTTGTTTTATATTTATGCCACAGAGGTTTTGTAAATCTAATAATGTCCATGTAGTTCTATGCAGGTTAGCTCACTGTTTTGTTGCAAAACATTGTTATATAAAGGAATACTAAAAATAGATGTTTAATTATTCAATATATACTCATGACTGTAACTACCTAGGTTTCTCAACTTGACTATGTAACTAAAATAGCCTATGTGTCTTGTTACAAATCTATATTAACCACTTATTTTATTTTTACCTAATGCAAGAATGTCACACTCAAATGTTGAACTTTTACACAAGTAATGCCCTTCAAACAAAGATCTTATCTCAGTAGAAATGTAGCTTTCTAGTTTTGAGGTGGTATTAAAAGAATCTACTTTTCTATAAGTAAGCACTTAATGCAGGAGAGTGCACATGAATTGGGTCCAGCTTTCCAGAGTAGCATTGCTTGCTGGAATGCTTTGCCCATGTATTTTCTTAGTTTTTAACCAATGAAAATGTAATGTAGGTACTACTATGACCATACATACAGGATGCAAAAGTCCATATTATCCAATTCAATTTCAATATTTATTTGATATTACAATATTTCAAGTATAAGAAATATTTCATAAATGTGGCATTGAGAATTATTCATGGATCAGAGAAGACAACTAAAGTGTGGGAAGTCATTTCATGAAAGATATTTAGGTTTGAGTCCATTCTGTAGGATTAGAGCCTCTAATCCATCCTACAGGACTGAAGAACCTCTAATCCACCCTGTAGGACTAAAATCCCATAATCCATGTGCTCAGTACAGATGCTCCTTATTTCCTGACTCTTTGGCTGAGATCAAATGTTGAGATACCTCTGAAAGCTGTCTACATTTTAAGCTATAACTTGTATTTTTAAACTTAACACAATTGATGACCCTTTGAATAAGGCAGGGTGGGGAGGAGTTTATAAATAATATAATATGAAAGAATATTGTTCAGATTCACTCATGTGCATAATCTACTGAAATAAATACTGTATTTTATGTTTTTAAAATGAGGCAGATTGTAGAAGTCACTTTCAATATTCTGAATTGAACAATACATCTTGATGAAATATTCTTCAGTTTTGAAATATGGAGTAAATAAAAAGCTGTCCAAACCCTTTTAATTTATTTGCACTCCAATACTCCAAGTTGATTACCATGGAATTCCTCAGGTATCACAGACTGCCTCAGGATCATGATAGCCCTGCTTCAGTTTCCTGAGTTCTGGAATTATAAACTTGTGTTACCTATCAAGGTTTCCCAATGATTATTATCGAGATATATATAGTAACATGATTACATTTTTTTTTTGTCTTTCAGGATATGAATGAGCCTTCCAGTTTTGTAAATGGAACAGTTTCAAATAGATGCAGAAATGATACACTAAATTACCCACCTTATTTCCCAGGTAGATTTTCATAGCTATACTTTTTATAACATGGCATCATTATTTTTGTTTACTATTTATGTAGACCTTAAGTTTCAGTCAGTAGAAATTCATTCTACATTTTCAATAGATGATCACACAGTTCAATATGCCCAACCTCAGGTGCAATATCAGTAATTCAACACTGTTTTGAGTGGAAAAATAAATGTTTTATTTCTGTGACCATAATATTAACTTAATTTTGTTTGTTTTGTCATGGTATCCTCATAATTTTCTGTGGTAAATGATTCAATATACTTTACTCATTAAAATTTGCTTGCAGTAATTATTCTTAGGAAGGGGAAAATAGAAGAAAAATATTTTTTGATCATGTGTGATCTGGTGACAGCTAGTATCTGGAAGGAGGCAACAAACATAAAGCTTGTTGAAGACAACGTGGCATTGGTTCTGAGATTTGAGTTCCAATTGGATACTTTTTCTACTTTAAAATTTTTTGTTACATTTTTAAATGTATTTTACATACCAACTACAGTTTCAAGTCCCTCCTTTCCTCCCAACCCCTCCTCCACCCCTTTTTCACTCCCACCATCCTTTCCTCAGAAGGGGTGAGGCTTCCTCTGGGAGTCAATTGACTTCTTTTAATGACAATGTACTGGATCTGTATTTGTCATTTACATGAATAAAGAGTAGTACAAATTTCAGGGATGGAGAAATGGATTACATGTGGGTTGCCTGTTGCTCTTGCAGAGAGCCACAGTTTGCTTGCTAACACCTATATGTTGCAGCTCAAACTATCTATGTATTTTCAGATACAGAGGATTCAATACTGCTTTCTGTCCTTAATGGGCATTTATACTCTTGTGCATATGCACATATACACGTAAAAAAAAATTTAAAAGTACATCTTAAAATTTGTATGTAACTAACAATGTATTGATATTTTATACAAACAAATTTCATTGACTATTACTCAGATGACTACAAATGCTTAAAATTAGTATACACAAAGGGTAAGAATGATTAAAAATCAGTAATTATTGGAAATCTTATAATTTATTTGCCAAAAATTGTGAGTGGATGCATTTTCCTCATTTGAGGGAAAGAATACCTGCTTTATATGGCACATTAAGGGAATATAACTCACAGTGGTGTATGGTGTTTCAGAATGTTTTTCAGAACATGTTTTTCACATATTCACCATAAAGAAATGGTTAAAGCTTTGGGTGATCTTTGTGCAAATGACTCTGGGTTTATTTCTATCCATTTTATACCAATTAAAATATTACCTTGCAGTACATATGTATCTTTTAAATCATTAGTAAAATTAGAATCTGGAAGATAAGAATTAAGAAATATGTAGTTATGAGCCATGTTCTTTAAAGCATTTCTATATTTTCCTCGTTTTTCCCAGAACTCACAAAAAGAACAGATGGGTTACATTTCCGGACCATGTGCATGGAAACAGAGCAGATTCTTAGTGACGGGTCATCAGTTTTGCATTATGATGTGCACAACTTGTATGGATGGTCACAAGTGAAACCCACTCTGGAGTAAGTAATATTTGTCAGCTTCTTATCTGCCTTTCTAGTTCAATGTTATATTGCTGATATCAGCTTCAAGGTTTCATATTTTAAGAGTCTTGCTGAATTTCTTGTTTCCAATTATTCTTTGTAAATTACTTCTTCCTTCAAAAGTCTTAGAAACCTGTCGAATAGTTGAGCAATCAAGCAAAATCCATCTATCTTCATTATATTCTTATTGATTTTATATTTTACATGTTATCCCAAAGAATTCTAGGCCACATTCATTTTGTTGTCCAAAATATAGTTAGTCCAATAAATGATAACATGGAATGTACAAATGTGTAAATAAAGGTTGAGTCAATATGCAATTTAAAGTAATTATTATCATAATTTAGATAATCTCCCATTGAAATTCAAGTTAGCAGCTAATACTAATAATCACTTAAATAACAAAGGAACACAAAGAATTGTTATAGCTAAGCAGATAACAATAGTCTCTTGTTTCTTGTTGTGACCACAAAATTATTTGGTTCTGATGATGAACTTAGTTAATATTAAAATCTACATAATTATGTATTAGGGTTGTCATCTCCTGAAATTTTTGTTTTGAGTCTGAGTTTATTTTTGTAGACTTGGATGTCTTGAAACTCTCTCTGAAGACCAGGCTGGCTTTGAACCTGAGATCTGCCTGCCTCTGCCTCCCAAGTGCTTTGATTAAATGCATGAACCACCTCTATCATCCTGAAATACTTTTTTAGTTTTAATTCATATAAAGTTATTTTTGAGTAACAAATTTTATTTCAAATAATATATATATATATATACATATATATATTAATCAGAGAGAGAGAGAGCAGAGCAATAGATGAGAAAACATATGTAGAATGAAAGAGAAAAGAGAAAGAAAGAGATGAAGATAAATTAATATATTATTGTAACATATTTTAAACTGGAATATGTTTATTATGCATAAACCATCAAAACAACTCTCTCTAAGGTTAGGAAAGTAAGAGAACACTTATTATAAATAAATTTGTACAATATATTTTATTGATGAAATTTGACTGAATGAATTCTACAAGTTAAGTATGATGATTCCTTTTTAAAAATAAGTAATCTATTAAATCTTTTCATTATTTATCAAATATTAAATATCAAAAATTTAAGTAGAATAAAGTGATTTTGTTGATTAAATAGCTTAACTAATATCATTTACGTTAACTTACATGCACTGAAAAGTTAAGAAATGAAAATTTAACATTATATATGTGTATTACTCTAGCAAATTATAGCCGGGAAGAAAATTATGTGTTATTCTACACAGCAAGTGAAGGCTAAGCTATGAAGTGTTGACTATGACAGCAAACCTGACCATAAAGTAGATACCAAGTTTTCAAGGAAGTTGTTTGTTATAAAAAACATTTTACCCAGAAATGGTAACTGAAGCCTTTAATTCCAGCACTGGGAATGCAGATTTCTAAATTCAATGCCAGCATGATCAATAATAATAATAATAATAATAATAATAATAATAATAATAATAATGTTCCAGGACATCCAGATCTGCATAGGAAAGCTCTGTCTTGTAAAACAACAAGGACAAAAAGAAATATTTAAATATTTAAAGAAAATGAATAATGTAAACATACAACATATGTCTTCATTGTACAGTGCATTACGGAAGACCACTGGCCAGAGAGGAATAGTCATCTCTCGGTCCACATATCCCTCGGCTGGTCGATGGGGGGGACACTGGCTTGGAGACAATTACGCAAACTGGGCTAATTTGGAAAAATCACTCATTGGTATGTGGTAATTATTTTCTATCATTTTAAAAATTTTTCAGTAAGTATTGTTTTGCTTTGCGCTAAGCAAATATCACCATTAAATTGTAAGAATTAAAGTATTTGCCTCATTTTTATGGTGTCACTTATAAGAATGCATAATTAAGGGTGCTACAGAGAAACAACTAACTGATGATTCTCAGCTAGTTTATTTAGATAAATACCACTATACATATTGGATCCTGTTTCATAGTTGAAGAAGGCATGAGTTTGAAGAGACACTATTCTAAAGCTAAGAAGAAAATGAGTAGACATTATCAGCTGTAGAATAAGAACCACTGAGAAATGTTCAAGAAGGAAGGAAATACATTTTACCAAAGTCTTTTCTGATATTAGCAAACAGCTGTATCATTTCAAACCATAAGCAAAACATTACAGTTTTGATTCTAGACTTAAACCATATTGATTAATAAAAGATTCATTAAAATCATATTTAGAATATTTACTTTGCCAAAGACCTAAGAAGTTATTTGCATTCTATTATGTTTAAGTTATCATTTTAATATACTTAATAAAAGTAATTATATTTGTTTTATATGGTAAAATAAATGGTTAAATAATAACAGAAAAACAATTTAATTTTAAAAAAAATTTGAGGAAAATACTACTACTTAGTCTTATGTCACTGTGGTGTTTTTATAACTTATTTGTATTTAAATAATATTATAGTGCTATTTTCTTAAAACATGTACATGACCTCTCATTTTTTGAGAACATCATTAATACTACTTAGTAGAAGAATGATTACAAGGAACTAATTTATTATTAATACCAAATGTCTCATTTAATAAGAATTTGTGTATGAAGACAGTATCCTCGTTAATAAAATTAAAATACTAAAAATGTTTTTCTAATTTTCAGGTATGCTGGAATTTAATCTTTTTGGGATACCATATGTAAGTAGATCTATTCATTTTATATTTGTATTCTATAACTATTAAGAAATAATACCTAAAATGCATTAAATATAACTATCTTTTAGATTGGAGCAGATATCTGTGGTTTTTTCAACGATTCAGAATATCATCTCTGTACTCGCTGGATGCAAGTTGGAGCCTTTTATCCATATTCAAGAAACCACAACATTCAATTTACTAGAGTATGTCATTACTACATTTCTGTCAATTATGTTTTATTGTGTTTAATTATTTTCCCTTTGCACCTTAGGTTGTTTGTTGTTGTTTTAATCATATTTTACTTGACAGAGTTTTAAATAAATACTTCAAATCTTTTCATATTAATGAACTACTACTTAGCCCATCTTTTGAAGACTTTTAGGACCTCACATATAAGAAAACTTGGCTAGGGGACACACATACTGTAGCTGTTCTATATGATTTTGAACGAGTTAGGGGAATGTCCTATTCTACACTGGGGTAGAACAATAACAAAAAAAAGTTCAACTTGGAACTAAATTGATTAAAAGTATAAGATATTTTCTATGATGAATGAAATGGTAAGACTTAAAATCAAATATTTAAGGAGCAAATTGATAAATTGAGAAAATAGAAAAGACAGCATCTATTGCAGGAGCAGATTTATGTGCAATGCCAATTACTGAGATTTATTAACTTATTTGCATCTAAATTTTGAGTGCTATATAAAACAGTGCATAATTTCATGTAAAATTGTGAACAGTTAGAGGCAGTACCCTACTAAGCACTAACTTGTGCTAAACTTTCAGTTAATAATACAGACAAAAGGCAAATTGAGCAGAAAATATGCCAATCAAAGGTGGACAATAAAAATACACCGTCCAAATTTATTTCCTAATCAACAGATGCATGCTGCACTGAAAAAAAAATTGCACTAACCAAGTTTTGCTTGAACTAGAAAAGGTAGATTTATTTTCTTAATGGTAAAAATACAAGGATATAAAGCAAGTTAAGACGGCATTCTGAAGTAGTTTTAAAGACAGGAAAACTGTAGTGAAATATTTTGAAGAAATATAAAAAGGTGTAATAGAAACTTGTTACTAATGTAGGAGATTAAGACACTGGAGAAAAAGGGCAGGGATTAAGAAAGGCCTAAATCAGAAAGGAGTGATTCGGGGAATATGTATTCAAAGTGTATCTATTAAATATTTAGTGTATCTATTCTAGTGATTAGTTACATCCTAATGTGTTTTACTTTTATTTATATCTCAATTACTCTTACAATATTTTAAAGTCAAATTAGCAAGTGTTCAAAGAAGTAAAATTGAAAAGATGCATTGAAGTTCTATACCTGAATGATAGTTATCCAGGGACTTGTATAATGAGGCATTTGAACACAAATCTCGGTGAGGAAAAATATAAATATTGGAAGAAGATAATGATCAGATGTAAAATTCCAGATTCAAAAGTCCATGAGATGGTAACTTTGATGAAATTTTGGAAAAAGAAAACACAGTGAATGAAGTACAGATGAAAGTAACAGTTATAAGTAAATGTTGCCAGAACATAAAAGTCAGTTTATTTAAATATTAATTAATATAATTAAACTTAACCCTTTATTGGTTTATATACATATATTAATGAATCAACAGAAAAATAGCTGAGATTAAATAAATTTCAGTATTATGATTTTTTTCTACTTACTTGACTATGAAAATACTGAAATATCTTATGTATTAATAACTGTCACATATTATACATAGGATCATACATAATTGAGTAATTGTTGGGATAATGTAGTTTAAATTCTTTGCTTATTCTAATAGTGCATTTGCTAGGTAGAATTCCCAATTATCATTTCAACTCTCTTATTTCCCAACTCTAGTAAAGTTGGAATATTCATAAACAGAATATAGTTCTAAAGGGTTCTAAACAATTGTTATAAACAAACATGAGAGGTGTTCTTTGTAATTTTGAGGAAGTGCAGTTTGTATACATGATACAAATTAAAATATATCATAATCAATTTTCCTTATACAAAGGATACTTTGTAGATTCTCAGTACTGCATCATTAATACTACTGCTTTGACTTGACTTGAAATGTATATTTCAAAGCAGACTGAAATGCTATCATTTAAGATTAATGCTATCATTTAAGATTCCTCTTGCATTTTTAATATTCAGTATTATAATCTATTTACTCCATTTGAGCATGTATGGTATACAAATCTAGCATAGGGAGCATGGCTTATCTCTTGTATTTCACATCTTTGTTTAACAAACCATTTACTTTTTTGTTAGACTTAATATTCCAACACTGAGTATTATCATAGCTAATAATTTATTTTTAAATATGAACTAAACTTTTATATGTTTACTTATATAAAATTAAGCTCCTGCTTAATTAGCATTATCTTTTAAAAATACTAATATTTTACCACTTTCATTCTTCATAAAAAGGAGAAATGAGGGCAGCATTTGATATTGTTGTAAAGATAGTTCATAGCACATGACATTGTAAGTTGCCAATTTTATTCTCCATTTTGGCTGTTAAGATTTAAACAATGAGGTATGGCTGTTATATTATGCTTTATTTCAGAGGCAAGATCCTGTTTCCTGGAATGAAACTTTTGCTGAAATGTCCAAGAAAGTTCTAGAAATCAGATACACTTTGCTGCCCTATTTCTACACACAGATGCATGAAGCCCATGTTCATGGTGGCACTGTCATCAGACCCCTAATGCACGAGTAAGCACAAAGTGTATTTTTTTCTTCCACAAGTAGCTTACAGTTACTTTAATATATTATGTATTGTAAAGAATATTTTGCAATTTCATTACTATATATTTTGAACTAATAAAGGGTTTAAAAGATAAGTCTAATAAAAACACCAACATAGTAAGTTAGCATAAGACATACCATAATAATTAAAAAGTAATACTTATTTTAAAAATACTTTGCTTCTCAATCCTCCAAATATTTTAAATGAGTAATTAAATGTGGTAGCCTGCCAAATTTTACTAATGATAATGTAATAAAAATTGCAAGTTTATAGTATAAATTATAAACTAGTACTTAAAATAAAGTAATCAAAATAATAATTTTCACTTGTATGCCTTCACTTTTGATTAAACATTAAAAGATGTGGCAAGCAAGAAACTGCAGTATGCTCAGCCCTAAATGGGACACTGACACAGGAACTCCTTTCCCATGGCTCATCAATCCCTGCAGGAGAGGTAGAAAGATTACAAGAGCCAGAGGCTATGCCCAGCTACAAGAAAACATTGTTTTTCATACACAGCAGGACAGCTGCACATATGAACACACAGTGTTGTGACACGCTGCACAAGACTTATCTAGCTCAAGCCAGACAAAATGCTAGGATGGAATGGGAAGGTAGACAGGAAAGCCTAGTCCTGGCCGAGGAACTAATCATAATAGATGTCTGGAAAGAGAGGGAGAATTAGTTTTAAGTATTTAATTCCTGGTAGGTTCAACATGCTCCAAGAGATGGCCATAGAATCAAGGGTACGTATGCAGCTCTAATCAGACCCAGTAGCTTTCTGTGAGGTGCAGAAACAAAAGGATGTGGAAATTAAAGGACCTGGCGGTTGTGAATATGATTAAAACACAAAATGAATTTTCAGGGACATTTTGTAAGAGTAAAGTTCATTTTTAAAAAACCAATTGCCCACCTCCCATCAAAGTACATCAAGGTTGTATTCTTATCTCACCATTACCTTCCTATCTGCTGCAATTCTGTTGTTCCTATCCTCATCATATAGGTGTTCTTACTCTTAAGATTTCAGATTAATCCCTTTTACATTTCCAAATATTGAGGGTTCGGTTATGGATTCTGAACATTTGTTTTGTTCTACTGTGGGGAGTTCATTAAGGGCTGAATCCCAACTGCTAGTTTACCACTAACTACTCTTGGTTACTAATGAAAGAAAACAAAATCAAAACTAAAACCTATTGTAAAAAGTAATTACTTAATTTCAATAGCATAAGAAACAGGAACATGTCCTAGTGACTATTTCCAAATTTGTAATGTTTTTCTATGCTTATTTAGTTTTCAGTGTTATAAATCAGCTTAGATATGAAAGAATCTTTAATTACTTAATGCCATGTCAAACAATATAGAGAGCTCTAAGACTTTCAAACTCCCCATCTCCACCAGTTGATATTTTTAATCTTCATTTTTTTAAATTAAACATTCCCTATGCAGCAGTGTGACTCCTAGCTTCTAAAGTTTTATCTTAGTCCTTTACCTACTGCAGTGACATCTCTGCTTCCCTGGTCCTCATTAATTTTTGTTTTCAAGAGTGTGGACATTCTGGAAAAAGAATTTTACTTTTATACTTGGTACTCGTTATGTAACTCAGACTCGTCTTCATCTCATGGCAAACCTTCTGCCTCAGCTTTCATATATGGGGTTACAGGTATAAACCTACACACCTTGTCTTGAAAAAATGTCTCAGAATATTAAAAAAGAAATAGTAAACATCCATATAATGAGAGTTTTACAGTATTTTTTCAGGTATTTTTCATTGCTGTTTCCAATTTTGCTGATTACTTACTATACAAAGTTCATATTTAAATACCTGTATTACCTATCCTATGCAAATTCCACTGCATAAAGATTTGTCATATAGTTTGACTATTCCTTAACAATCCTTTTTGTTAGAACATGTAGACATAATTTGATTTTACTCAGAAAGTATATGCTGCCACACACTGTGTTCTGAACAACAAGAGTAGTTTTTTAACTACTAAGTTTTGAGCTATTTTTTTTTTTAGTTGATTCCCCAAAAGTTCTTACAGCAAACGGGGATTTGAATAAGCACTTTATAGTGTTCCGAAGAGAATCAGTTCTCCAGTTTAACTGAATACTTTGTGATTCTTTTGTGAAGGTTCTTTGATGATAAGAAAACCTGGGAAATATATGAGCAGTTCCTGTGGGGTTCTGCTTTTATGGTGACTCCTGTCATTGAGCCTGTAAGTGTGACCATGTGTTTATTCACAAAATGTTTTGATTTTATTTCATAAGATTTCATTGACTTTCTTTTTAAATTCCAGTACAAGACCAGTGTGAATGGCTATGTCCCCAATGCTCGGTGGTTTGACTACTATACTGTAAGTTTTGGAAGAATTCTTGGACATTAATTGAATGGAAGTATATGATATTTGGATAATTGATATGATAACTTGTGTATCTGTCTATTTTCAACTTAAAGTTCAAAATTAGTTATATGCTGTTAATTGTCATTGAATCAAATTAGCATACCATGGAACAATTCATTTATTCTGCACTAGCCTGTTTTAGCACAAAGATACTTGCTTTATTTTAGCAAACAAGCACAAAAATGTATACTATATATTACAAATGTCTGTTGCTTCTTTTGGTTAGAACAAAATAGTCATTAAAAATAATGAAGTTCTTCATCTTTTGTGACCTTGCAATATCCACACACTTCCACATAGGAGATCTCGCAAACACATAAGTCTGAGGATAAAAATGTAACAAAGACCTAAGGATACACTTTAAACTAGATGATTTTTTGAAAATTATGTGATTTTGTTAGTTTTTAAGCAGAAAATTGTAACATTTGATTTCTTACAGTCTTGCATTACTAATTCTTTCATTTCTTATTCTTACTTTCCTTTTCCTTACCAGGGGGAAGATATAAAGGTCAGAGGACAACAACAAACATTTGCAGCTCCTTTTGATAAAATAAATCTGCATGTCCGAGGAGGTTATATTTTACCATGCCAAGAGCCTGCACGGAACACACATTTAAGGTAACTGAACTGTCTTTAGAACTTTCATTTTGTAATATATCCTGCTTTAAAAGTCAGCAGTTTGAAAGGGTCTGACCTTTCGCTGTGATCTTTCTGTAATAATACAGGTGCTATATAATAAACAGAATGGTGAACTTCGGTTTTCTCTGCTTTCTAGTTCCACTGGGATGACCTGATGTCATCTTGGTAGATCCTACAACTGAAGTTTTGAGTCAGTTGAGCACCCACTAATCTAGGGGAGTTGAATATTTTGTTTTGGGATGCAAACAAGCCTACCTATTCTTATCTTGGAAAAGGACATTTTTTTCTCTTTTGTATTATAAACAGTGAGTTTAATAATAATGACTGATTTATAGCATTTTAAGATCTGATCTTAACATCCAACATCACCTCCTTAAAAATTATTTTAAAATGTAACTTAAAAAGAAAATCTGATAATATCTCTGTGCATGCAATGGGCATAAATGTTGAAGATGCATGGGAAATTGTGTTTGAGTGGCACATCCCCTTTGAAAATAAGGCTTCCTTACTAATACAAACTCAGACTTCATAACCTCCCAATACAATGTGCAGAGGTATTTTCAAACAAATATTTTGTGTTTGGAATAACTTCCTAAGCAAAGACATCATCTATTTTTACCTAAGGCATGGATCTAACTATACCTCTTAAACCATTCTTTTCAGGTTCTTTAAATTTTATACATAATTTTTTAATTTGAATTTGAGATAAGCTTGTTTTACATAATAATTTCACTTCCTTCATCCTCCTGTCCTGTCTGTTCCCCTCACCAAACCCCATCCTATCCCCTTTCTACTCCCCAGGAAGGGCAGGGCCTTCTGTGAGGAGTCTTCAAAGTCTGACATATCATTTGGAGCAGGGGCCTGTCTCTCCCACATGTGTCTAACTGAAGGAGTATTCTTCTATGTGGAATGGTCTCCCAAAGTCCATTTGTATGCTAGGGATAAATCTTGACCCTCTAGCAGAGGCCCCATTGTAACGAGTACGGTTTATCTGCCCGCCGCCTGGTATTGTCCTGCCGCCATGCCGCCAGCACCAAATAATGCACAGAGACTCTGTATTAGATATAATCCTGTTGGCCAGTTACTAGTTGCTTATCGGCTAGCTCTATCTTAATTATTAACCCATTTCTATGTATTTCCACGTGGTCTTACCGAGAGCAGAGGAATGGCAGTTCTGTTCTCTCCAGACTCTCCATGCTGACTCCTCCTTACTACTTCCTATTTCCTCCTTGTCTCCTAGTCCCTCCTATCTTCCTTTCCTATTGGCCAACAGTGCTTTATTTATTAACCAGTATGAGAAACATATACAGAATGACATCTCCCATCACCCCATAGATTGTCCAACCCTCCCAACTAACACCATATTCAAGGAATCTGGATCAGTCCTATGCTGGTTTCCAGCTATCAGACTGGAGTCCATGAGCTCCCCCTTTTTCAGGTCAGCAGGTGTTTATTACTATTATTATTATTTATTTCCTTATTTTAACATTTTTATATATATCTGAGGCAGGGTCTCATATAATGTAGACAGACTTTGAACTTGCTATGTAGCAGAGGATAACCTTAATATTATGATACTGCTTGTCTCTCATTCCTGAGTGCTGGGATTTCGGGTGTGTTCCACCTTGCCTAGCTTCTGCATGGCTAAGGTCTAGACCCAGGGCTTTAGACATGCTAGGCCAGCTGTCTACCTGAACTACATCCCTGGGACTGAAAACGATATTTTCTTAAGACCTTCTAGAATACAAATCTGAATTGTAGAAAACTAAGTGGAGGGTTTAGAGGTTTCAATGCATTTGCCATTTTCATAGACTCCTTATAATAAACAGCCCCACAATATTTGATGGATCAGCAAGAAGACATAATTGTCATCCAATGTCAATAGTTTATAACAGGGTTCATGCCTGATCTTTAGTGGTCTGTTGTTGTAAACAAGTGATTAATGTCACACAGAGCAGTTTGATTACTTTAAGCATCCTTAGTCCTCATCCACTTAACCCCATTGAACCCTTTGCAATCACTGAGCATTTAGCATTCACAATTTGCAGCTCTCAAAATGGTATGTTTTTGAAGCTATAGGGCATGCAGACTTTTCAGATCCCTTTCATTTACCTAGTAGTACATACATCTCTTAACAGCTTCCATCACTGAATACTAGGCTATTTTATGAAGTTTACAGATTTGAAGTGTATTTTGTTTGGAAGATTTCACTTTGATTCACTGCCTCTACCACTTCCTTTCTGTTCTGTGGTGCATTTGCTGGCTTACACTCTACAAAATGCAAGCAGATATCCACTAACAATATAGTTACCTAGAGTTCCTTCAAACTACTAAGGTTCCTCCTGATATCTGGAGGAGCAAGTCCTCCTCTCCATCTTCCTATAGCCTTCCTCTATGTAAAGACTAATGGAGACAGATGTTTTGTGTTTCACTACCATTAATCATTATTTAATAAAATATCAGGTATTTTCTTTTTTAATTCATAAGGAAACTTAATGATATGTCCATCTCCAAGTAATATTAATACATTCAGTGTCATGTGGTTGATGTAAGAATGACTTTCTTTTGGCTTGCTTATTCTTCCCTATGGCTACTTTCCTGGAAAGCCTAAAGACAAAAATACAGAAGCTATGAACAGACTCTGCCTAATTGCCTGATCCACCCTACCATATGTACATATGAATATGTATTTCATATGATGAAGAATTCTCAGGTTCCTAAGAGAATTCTTTCTTCTACTTATTTCTGTTTATGCCCTAAAGGTTATATGGGGTATTGACATTACATTTACACAGAGTAGTAGAAGTATAAGCTATAAGACTCTTCAATATAATTTTTCATTATTATTGTAAATTGTATGTTCAGCCACACTACTAATTTTGTTTTCAATGCAGAAGTTTGCTGTGTAGCAGACATGAACATCAAATTTGTGATGTTCTGCTTTGGTCTCTCAAATTTAGGGAATATGGAATTAAAGTTACATGCAACTAGGCATATCATTAAACCAGACTTTTATATTTATAAGATATAGTTTCCTTTATCTAAGTAAAGGTTAATTAATATTTATATAGTAAACATTTGTGCTTTGGATGCTTACATAAAAATCAAGTATTAAGATATTGAAAAATTAAACTTTAAAACTCTGTATATATTAGAAACATCAGAACAGTATATGTTTCAATACCTGAGATTATCAATGTGAGTCAGAAAAGTTATTTTGTTAAGAAATAACTTTCTTTACAATTTTATGCCATCAATCCAAGTTATTTCTCATATGGTGTTACCGACTGATCTGTGTTTAGTTCATAAACAGAACTGTGTAAGCATGAACTGAGAGACATTAACCATTACAAAGAATGAACTTTGAGGTATCTAGTTATTCTTTTAATTTGTCTTAATATACAATTATATGTAAATGATTTATATGGAGAAGTTTTAAGCTTAAGAGATTGTAAATTCTATTAATAGGGCTGAAGCTACAGTTTATGGCAGAATATTGGATATACCAGTGTCTGATCCTGATATTACAAGAGAGGGAAAAAGGGAAAAAAGGAAGGCGATATTGATTAAAATACAGATGCAAAAAATTAATCCATAAACTTAATGACTTAATTACTATAAATGAGTCCTCTACTGATTAGAGATATTAGGTGAACTCTTAAACCAAATGACATTTGTGCTATTTCACATCAAATATAATGAATTTCTTTTCTATATCTCTTTTTATTCATTTGTAGATGAAAACACAGTTTGTTTTTGAAACTTCCATTATAATTCATATTCTTACATAACTATCACAATATAAAATATCCTACTCTGAAAACAGGAATAGAATTGTTTCTTTCTTTCTTATAGTCGACAGAATTTCATGAAGCTCATTGTTGCTGCAAATGACAATCAAACAGCACAAGGAACTCTATTTTGGGATGATGGAGATAGTATAGGTGAGTCTTCCATTCACCAGACAAAATGAAGCTGACAGCATACATATTCCCTACATTGTGTTAACTTTGTACTTAAAAGCTGAGCACAAAACTAGACATATCATTTATTGTTAAAAGAGATTAATAATTCCTTAAATAGTACACAGAATTTTTTAAAGCTGAAAGGCTCTTTTCTTACTTTAAAAGTACTTAATCCCTATATTAAAAGATAAGTTAAGTGAATTGAATGGGCAGAGTTTACTTACAACACAAGATAGAGGGCTACTTACATTGACATGGTAGGACAATGATCCAAATATGTCATGTTCCAAGTGCATAATTGGTGCACAAAATATATCTCTAAAACAAGCTGATATTCTACAAAGCAGGCTGAAAATAAGTTTAGTCTCCTTACTATGTTACTATTGATTTATGTTGTCTACTTATTTTTGCCTTTCTTTTTTACATTCAACATGTTTTTGTTGTCATTGTTTCTGGGTTCCTTTTTGTTAACTTTTACATAAGAAAATATCTTCATTGTATTCACAATTGTGTTTAACATCACAACAAATAACTAAACCTTTCAGTATATAAGTTTTGCTTTCCCTTGGTGTCAGACATACCTAAAAACTTTGTTAAAGTACTTATTCTGAAAGTTACAAAGGCATCTCAGCTTTAATTACTTAATTAGGAAACAGGAGAATCTGATTTTTGTCCCAAAATCATGGTAGTGTGACCTTGTAATCCTACACTGCTAAACTAAAGCCAGCCTGATCTTTGAGGTGAGAGATAAACAGTGTAGTCTATGTGATAAGTTCTGGGTTAGTAGAAGAAACTGTGTCAAAAAATGAAAGTGTTGAAAGCATTCACCTTTCACTCATACATGAACACCAACACATGTATATACATATATATGTATACAGACACAAAAAATCAAAGTATATATGTCTTCTCTATGAATATGTAGAAAAATGGTTTTAGTAACATATCAGTTTTAGAATCAGAAATATTAGCAACAAGTTCATTTTGGAAAAAAAAAACAATGACATGAATAGACCGTTATTTGTGCACATTCTAACTTTTGTGAGTAGATGAAAAAGTGAAAGACATTAGGTTTTCTACATTATGCCAGTCCACACATGTCACTGTACTTTTCTTTTTCTATCTTCTAATTCCTCTGTTCTCATATAAATATAAGGAAAACAATATTAATGATGATTAGGATAAGTGTAACATATTTCTCCTATAGTGTTTCTGTTATTGTACCTTAAATTTGCCACACAGTAATTCTTTTGTAAGTGTTAGCTATATTTTTATTATGGCAAAATGGCCAAAAGTCATAGATCTAAATAACATTTTTATCGGTTTTGTGTGTTTGAATTCAGTGAGAAACGTATTGCTAGAATATGGCACCATTTTTACCCTGAAAGAAAAATAAGTATGCTAGTACTTACTATTGTTCTTTGAAAAATAAAATCACTTCCCATTTTTCTTTCTCTCCAGACACTTATGAAAGAGATCTTTATACCTTGATACAATTCAATCTAAAACAGGTACATAATATGTTCTATAATGAATTGTACTAAATATGAAGCCTTATTCTCTGTTTATTATATAAAACATAGTATTTAATATACTTGTATCATTAATTTGGTGTTCAATGAAATTCATTTTGGTTCACCACAATATATTTTCTGATTATTTACTTGAACTTTCAAATGAGACTTTATTTCTTTTTCTCCACCTTTATAGAAAACTTTAACAAGCACTTTATTGAAAAATGGGTATACAAACAAATCTGAGATGAGACTTGGAAATGTTCATGTATGGGGTATAGGAACAACCAACATCAACAAGGTTAATTTGATTTATAGTGGAAATACACTAAATCCTACATTTGATCATGATACAACCAAGGAGGTGAGTAACATATGAATGTGCTTTACTCTCTCAAGTCTCTGTAAAACATCTACTTGACTCCTCATAGTCATCACCAGAACTAAAACAGAATTCCATTAATTGTGGTGTTTTCCACTTATTTAATCTTTTCACTCCTGCGTATTCATGTATGTGCCATTGTCCAAACATCTTTCCATACAAATCAATTCAATGACAGGTTTTTCATAATTTTCCTCATATAAAATAAGCAGTATTAATTAATTAACAATTCTTCAAATACTGTTTTCAATAGACAAGTTGGTTTTGGAAATTTTATTTATCTGAGATAAAAAGTCTCTGAATTGTTTGGAAAGCCATGTAGCTCCTCTTAGCATGGTGAATATTGTCATAGGAGAGGCAATCAAGACTGATCCAGGCATCAGGGTTCTTGTATCAGACTAGCAACCGCTGCCTACATTGTTTTTTTGTTTAGTTTTGTTTTATTTTCCTATCTAAGTTTAGGTCTTACCTCCAAATTTGGTAAATATGTAGAAATATGCAATCTCTCAATATCCTTCACATCCAAATTGTGGGAATTTATGACTCATAAGTGTAGACTTAGTACAATTTATATGTAAAATCTCAGTTAATTCTGTTTCCTCTGAGCAAGGCCACATCCTCATGACTATAAATGTCAGGAAAATATACTATTCAATTTTAATTTTATATGAGAAGAGCTAGCAATCAATCAGTCACTTTAAGTGTACTTGATTTATAGAATAACAGGTTGCCCAACCTCAATTTCAAGAAAGACAGCATTGGACAACCTTAGATTCTAATGGATTTCCCAGGCTCTTAGTGTTTAATGGCACCATGGCCTAAGCCCTTTGACTTGACTCTGACACTTTGTGTCGATAGTGATTTCTTATCTGAACATTGAACTTCTATTTAAACTTAGAATTTAGTCTTTGAACTAATTTGACATTAAACTATTTGAATTTAAGTTTATTTAAATGATGTCAGCTTGAAGGGAGCTGTTTGGAATATTTGATGTCCTTTCTTGGTAAAATTAGGTAATCTAGTCCCTTAAGTCTATTTTGTTAATGAATATTGTTCTGGCTTACAAAATTCCTAGTAAAAAATATACTGACTTAAAAATCTTTTGGTCATAGCTAGGAGAAAAAGAAATTGTTTCCTTTTAAAAGCAAATTGATTCTCTGAGGTCCTGGTTTTATTGGCCATTCTTTACACTTTAAAATAAATTGTGTTGTGTTAGTCAGATCAAAAAAAAATAAACAATATGCCTTTTATACTTTTTAAATATTTATTGGGCAATAGTAAATAAACCTGATATTTTTGCTATAAAAATGAAGTGCACAATGACAGCTGAATAGAGTAAAATGAGGTACTATTTCATGTTATTTCAAGTTCATTTGGAACAATTATACCATTTAATAGCATACTCGTTGAAAAGAAGTTTGTTTCCTTAATCCTTTGCAGGATTAAGTTTAAATCTTAATAAAATTACTTCAATGATTTATAAAAACATATGTATTTACAATTGCAACTGTAAACCATTCTTAATAAGTCTATGTCAATAAATCTCATGTATGAATACATACATGAATCCATACGTCAAAGTCACTTGTGTTAGTTACCCAATGAACACCTCTGAAAAAAGATGTGAATATCATTATAGAGACTAAGCACATTTTATTTAGGTATTTATGATTATATATATAAGTAACAACAACAAATGAAAATGGAGGCCAAGAATATGAAAAAGTGTAATGTATAAATCATCACTTTGACACACCACAGAATTACCCAGACAAGAGTCTCTATGAGATATTGTCTTGACTATGTTGGCCTGTGGGCCTGTCTATAGGAGTTTGATTATGTTTATTGAGTTGGGAAGATCCAGTACACTATTCTCCTCCCTAAGTCTGTGTCTTAGACTATATGAAGACAATGTGAGCTGACCACTAGAAAGAATTCAAGTATTCACTATTGCTATTATTTACTGTGAATGTAATGTGACTTGCTCTTTTAAGTGCCCAACTTAGAAGTTCCACTTTGACTTCTTGGCTATGGTGAACTATAAGCTTTACTGTGTGTCAAAATACCTCGCCATGAGAACCACACACAGAAAAGGATAATGTATGAATGTCAATATCAAAATAAGAAGCTATGTCTATTTACTTACATATGACTTGAGATGGAAATAGTATTTGTTCAAAAGATGACAGGAAAAATATTATTACAATAGACCATTAACGGTAACTTTACTTTGTTTTTAGATACTAACAATTGACCTGAAACAAATGAATGTTACTCTTGATGAACCAATAGAAATTAGCTGGTCTTGAAGATTACCATAAGTTTGAGTTCCTGAAGAGGAGTGATTTTGGGTTCATTGTTCACCTTCATAAACATCTCTCCAGATTTCTTATATTGTTTAAAACAGAATTACCATTGTTCTTATCTAAATATTTTACATTGTGTACATCAAAGAATGCTAACATGTTCTATTAAAGGAACCTGGTGCAACTGCCTTGAAGGTTTAATAGGATTTGAATTATTACACTTACCTTTTAAGCAACAGTTAAATCTGTAAACTTGTATGAGTGTAACTAGCATATGATTAAAGGAATTGATTTTAAATTAACAAAAATTATGTAATATAAACTGTATACACTATTATGTTCAATTGCATTGACTTAACTTATTTAACAAATCATGATATCTAATTATTTTGTACTATGTATATTTCATTAAAAACCAGAAAATAAAAATAGATGTGTATAAATATATTGTGATATGGCTTCTTTTCCTGTTTTCAAAAAAGCTCTCTCATACAGATTGGGATACTAAAATGAATTAATATGACATGGTATTTTATCTAGAACATCAAACTGCCACAATTTTGGGGTACATGCAAATCTTTTGGTATATAGTATAATCTTATATTGAGAGAAGGTGAGAGAGAAAGCCTGTCCTCAAATCTCTCCTTTATTAGATATTAATACTTTTATGAGAATCCATCATCATTACCTAATTACCCTGTGAGGATATCCATCGAAATGTCATCAAATTGGAAATTTGGTACCACAGAAATTGGAAATCCTGTGTCTAATAAAAAATTCTTTTCTTTGTTTATTTTCACTTTACATGCAAAGGGAAAAAATAGTGTTGTCTATTCTTAGGTATTCAGGCTGTGGGGCTCTCATTCTTAAAATAGATATCTATGTTGTCTCAAATTTTAATATAGCTACAGTAGTGAGCATGAAGACTGGAACTGAAAGTATAGACACTTAAGTTTGTGGAACCGAATACAAAAATGTCACAGAAATCTGAAAATAATAGACAGGCAACTTGGAGAGGATTCACTTTTCTGTTCAAAAAAACAAACTTATAACTGAAATTATGACTTGTTTCACCTAACAGGCTACATAAATGGTCATTATTTCTTAGGAATGTAATATATTTCATATTTTTTTCAAAAAAAATTAAGGATTTTTTTAGTTGTATATAGATTCTTTTCTCATACAAAATACCCAAATTATAGTGTCCTTTCCTCACATAATTAGAGTTACTACCCCAATTCCTCTACATATGGCTACTTAGGTTAAGGGAGTATCTCTCCATAGAGAATGTACCCCCAAATTCCTTTTGTGCACCAGGAATGGATGCATCCTGGTTCCACTGTCAGAGGTCCCTAGACTGCCTAGGCCTTCTAACTGAGACCCATGTTCAGGGGTCTGAGATGGTACAATTCTGGTTTCTCTGCTATCAGTCTTGTGGGCCATTAGTTCAGGTCAGCTGTCTCTGTGGATTTCTGTAGCTTGGTCTTGTCGTCCCTCTCTCCATCTGGATTCCAGTTCAGCTCAAAGTTTAGCTGTGGGTGTCTGCTTCTGTTACCATCAGCTACTAGATAGAGTCAGGGAAAGAACAGAGGAGAGCAAGAAAAAAGATATCATAATAGAGGGAAACATTACAGGTTTAAAGTGAAAGCTGTCACTAGGGAAATGTCCAGAGACCTACAAGGATGACATTAACTATCTAAGCAATAGTGGAGAGGCTACCTTAAATGCCTTTCCCTGGTAATGAGATGGATGACTACCTTATATGCTATCCTAGAGTCTTCATCCTGTAGTTGACAGAAGCAGAAGCAGTCACCTACAGAGAAATACTGTGCCGAATTCCTGTAATTCTGTTGCAGAGAGGGAGGAGTGATAAGCAAATGAGTCAAGACCAGGCTGGAGAAACCCACAGAAACTGCTGACCTTAACAAGGGGGGCACATGGACCCCTGTCTGATTGCTGGGAAACCAGCATAGAACCAACCCAGACCCCCTGAATGTGACTATACTTATGAGATCTGTGCATTCTATGGGGCCTCTGGTAGTTGATCAGTATTTATCCCTAGTATATGAATGGTCTTTGGGAGAACCTATACCCTGCTCCAAATGATATGAGAGACTTTGAATTTCCCCCATTTAAGGCCTCAACCTCCTTGGAGATCAGAAGGGATGGAATGTGGGCAGGAAGTTTGGGGAGGAGGGGAGGGTGAGAGAACTGGGATTTACATGTAAAACAACTTGTCGTAAATTTAAATAAAAATGTTATCAAAAAGTAAATAATGTATATATACGTATATACATATATATATATATATATATATATGAGCTATGTATAACTTATTTTTGGATGATAACTAATGTAGGATAAAACTCAGGTATCTTGACATTTAGATACTTGCCCACAGTTATCACCTTGGATTTCAAAGAAATGGTCTGTGTGAAAGCACTGATAGTGGGACCAGGATTTATCCCTTGTGCTTGAACTGACTTTTTTGAGCCTATTTCCTATGAGGGATACCTTGGTCAGCCTAGATATAGGCCTTGGTTCTGCCCCAAAGAGATATGACAGCGTTCATTGATTCCCCATAGGAAGCCTTATTTTCTCTTAGGAGTAGATGGCAGGTGTGGTGGAGGGTTGAAGAAGGAGATAGTAAGAGGAAGGGAGGGGGTAGATACTGAGAATGGTATGTAAAATTAGGAAAGATTAAAAATAGAAAAAAAATGTTTTAAAAATGGTCTCATAGTAGATGAAAGCGAAACTTCTCTATTTGGAGTCCTTTTTCAAGAGACACTTAGCTATTTCATACAAATGTCTATCCCATAAAAACATAGATAGGTTCATTAGGTAGACAATACCATCAAGTATTACTGGGAAATAGTTTTACAAATTTAGATTATTTTGTTATTATACAATTTCCAATGTAATGGTACAATTCACTTTTACATTTGTATTGAAAGTGAATTGAAAGTGATTGAAAATTATTGAAGTTAGAGTCTGAAGAAAAGCACTTAGTTCTTAATGTGTCTTTGTCATGTTCACAGACACCAAAACTTAGATATATACAATGATCTAAATAAAGACTAGATTTCCTACTTGAAAACAAAAATAAAAACAAAAAGGTAATAATGAATTTAAGACACAGGTTTCTTTCTATTAACTTGTGTTATCACTTTCAATTTACATAAATTTATCAAATTACTTGGTCCTGTGTCTCTTCAGCAGAACATACAGACATAGTCATGTGTTAATTAACAAATAGATGCCCTTTTAAATTGTCAATAAATTGTGGTCATTCTAACTTTAATATGCAAATGTTATCATTAATTAGTGATTTTAGTCCAGTGGAATTTATGATTGGGTAAGCTGTCTTCTTTTGCTTGCCAGCAGGTGAGAAGCAAATGTGAAACATGTATATGAAAGCAAGATTTTTATTGCATTGTATGTCTAGTTTCATATGAAGAAAAGATGTGAGAAAATATGTACGCAAGTTCTCATTCCAGACACAGAATTGTGCTTTGAGCATGTTAAATTCAAACCTTGATGAACTCCTAAACATTGAACATGTTATTAATATGAACATACTGTTGTAGTCTTTAAAGTTCTAGAATAGTATTACAAAGTTTAAATTAATGTAAATTGTTGTGACAAACGGTCTTAATATACCTCCCTTTGGTTTAGAACTGTATAACCCAGAATGGTTTCAAATTGCTTTAAATGAACTTTTGTCTCTGTCACTAAATGGCTTCAATGCTAAATGTGTGCTATGATACAGAGTTTTATTCAATATTTGTCATTATGTTTATTACTTAAGAAAAATTTTATGCTTTGCCACTTTCAAATAAAACAAGACTGTGATAAGAAATAATTTGTTGAAAAACACTGCACTCAGAAATGTTCAACATCTAGGGAGTTCAATATATATTCAGGGGACATAAAAATGTCTGTAATATATTGTTTAATTGTAGCAATAGTGTAGAAGCAGAAAATACCAATAGCATTTATTTCAGGCTGTTCTATTTCTTCATATAGTAACAACTAATACAAACTATATGGTGAAGTTCTTAAGGAACTGTACAAACTTGTAGCAGTGGAGGCTTTATAATTTAGTATGAAATGGTCACAGAAAATGTCTATTGTCTATTTACCTTATTTCTTAGACAATATTATTAGGCTATTCTTCCCCCCCCCCCGCTCAAATAAAAATACAGAATGACCCTTCCTTGTAGTTTTAATCTTCCTTAAAAACTTGAATAGCTTAATATTTTTTAATTATTAAACTTCAGCCTATAGCTTAGCTCTTTGTTTTGTTTTTTTATTTTAAATGACCATCCCAGTTCCCTCTCCTTCCCTTCCTCCATCCCTCCCTTCTTACCTCCATCCCTCTTATCCTCTCCCCCCACCATATGCACCCTGACCTCCCCTCCCATCCCCTCAACCCAATTCCACATGTAGGGCAATGGGAGATGTCATTCTGTATATGTTTCTCATACTGGTTAATGAATAAAGCACAGTTGGCCAATAGGAAAGGAAGATAGGAGGGACTAGGAAACAAGGAGGAAATAGGAAGTAGGAAGGAGGGGTCAAGATGGAGAGTCTGGAGAAAGCAGAATTCCAGCCAGCTCCCCAGTAAGAGAAATACATAGATCAACAGAAATGGATTAATAAATAAGATGGAGCTAGCCAATAAAAAACTAGTATCTGGCCAACAAAATTATATCCACTACAGAGTCTCAGTGTGTTAATTGGGGCTGGTGCAGCAGCGGGCAAGACTGGCTGCAGGAGGAAAAACCATACTCTTTACAAGGTGGAGTCATGTAGATCTGTCAGGTCATTTGAAGTAGGGACTAGGATTTATCTCCTGCCTTTAACTAAAGGGAGTATCCATCGATGGGGGATGTGTTCGCAAAGTCCTTTTGTGCACCAGGAATACATCCTGTTCCACTGTCTGAAGTCACTTAGACTGCTCAGTCCTTCTACCTGAGACCCATTTTCAGGGGTCTGAGTCA